CTGCCCCTCCTCTTTCCCTGTCCATCAAAAGAGTGATACACTATAAAAAGTATCGAAAACTAGTTGTATACACTGTGAAACGTGTTTGTTCTCCTTGTCAGTGTGAAAATAGTAATTTAAAAATCAATGTAAAAAATAAATACCTAGGAAAACCGGGATTTAGGAAAAAGAACCATATTGGAGGGCTTTAAGAGTGTTCGCTACCACAGAAATAATGTTTCCCCATTCCCTCCCCATCACACATGTTCACATCCCCACCATGCTTTCATGCCCATATGTACACATACGCATCAGATTTTTATCAACTCCACTGTGACAACAGGTCATTACTCCCCTTGAAATATCACCTTCCCAATGAGGACTATCTGGATTCTGTATTTAAAATTGCAACCCTTCTCCTTCCTTTCCCCCCAACTCTCGATCTCCTAACCAGTTGTGCTCCCTTCCTCCATAGTACTTAGCATTTTCTATAGTTTACTTAATATGTTTGCTGTTATTGTCTGTCTCTGCTGCATTAGAATGCAAGCACCACAAAGAAAGAAAATTGTTGTCTCTTTCATTCACTGAGAATAGACAGTGATATATGAGTATTTGTTGAATTGTAGTATCTTCATGAAGGAAAAAACAGGAAAACAGTCTGAATATGGATAGCTGCCTTGGTGTTCTGAGAAGAGAGATTAAATCTGATGCAACTTTATGATCTCAACTACATTTTAAACCACAGCTTGTTTCTCTTGCTCTCATTCCCTAGCTTTTAAAATAGCTCCAGTCAAGCAGAATTAAGCTTCTTTGTGAAATTTTCAATGTCATATTTAAAGACTGAATTTTGAAGGTAGCATACAGAGTGGGAAATGTCATGGAATTTAGAGACAAGCCACTTCATTGTCACCTATTAGGTGTGACTTTGGGCAAGTTACTTAGCCATGAAGTCTACATTTTCCTATATGTAAAATTAGAATAAAACATACTGGGGCATTTATTGGGTGGGCTAAATACACACAAAGTTATGTGAAAATACTTAGTACACAGTAGGTACTGGTTTATATCTATTTCTGTCTCCTTCCCTCTCCTTACCATAAAATAACTTTTATTAAATTTTTATTTAATGTTATTTAATGTATTTTCAACTTAACACTAATTTTGGTTTCCATTGGCCCTTAATGAAGATTATTTTAGTAATCTATGGTAAGCTAAACTTCCACCAATATGTATGAAGAACCCATTTTATATAGCATTCACTGGGGCATGGATTTTGGGGGATTGTTGGGAAGGTCTGAGTTTCTCTTGTGTAATTTACACGAAAGATGTTTTGTGTTCATCTTGTTGTTTCAAAGAGACCACCAATGCTATCTTCATTGGTTGGCATTTTAGGCTGTAAGGCTGGGAAAAATCAATTTCTTCCTTTTGCACATTAAGAAATTAAGTCATCTGTCTGGTAAGTGTCAGAGTAAAGGATAAGAATGTAAATTGACCTCTTGTCCAGTGTTCTTTCTACCATATTATACTTTCATCTAAATAAAATACAAAGTTTAGGGTGTCGGGTGTCAGTCGGTTGAGTGTCCAGCTCTTGATTTCAGCTCAGGTCATGATCTCAGTGTCGTGACATCGAATGTGCTCTTTGTGCTCAGTGGGGAGTCTGCTTCTCCCTCTCCTTCTGCTACCCCCACCCCAGCTCATGCTTACGTGCATGCATGCTCTATCTCTCTCAAATAAATAAATCTTTAAGGAAAATAAATGAAATACAAAGTTTGATGGGTTTTGTTATTAATATGGTATTGTTGTAACAAACTTTTATTGCGCGTTTTTTACTTTTAAATAGGTAATACATGCACAAGATAGTAAAGGTTGTACATAAAAGTAAATCTCCATGAGCTCTGCCCCCAGCCACAACAGGCCTCCACTACTCAATGCATATATTCCACATATTCTTCTGTTATTTTACCCAAATGTAAACTTTTATGTACTTTGCTTTTTTCACTTAAAAATGTGAAAATAATGTTTGTAAATGATACGTATTTGCTTCTCATAGCTCCATGACCACCTCTGGTTACTCCCAGCCGACATCATGAACAAGTGCTTATTTAGCATTATGTCAGGCAATATTCTAAGCTCTGGGAGCAGAGGAGTGAACAAGATAGAAGAAAACCACTTGTCTTCACAGAGTTTACCTTCCTAGTTTGTGGTTAGCGATATGATAGGGGTACAAATAATGGCCTCTGTGATAGACCCAAAGAGGGAGAAATGAATTTCTTCAAACATAATCAGAGGAAGTTTTAAGAGAAAAGTGGAAATTTTTCTGGATTTTAAGTGATGGATTGCAATTCAATGGGAAGAACTGGGAAGAAAGAGCACTCCAACACAAATGTATTGGAATTACAATTTTTTGGTTTTCATCTTATGTATCTATTGTTTTGCATGGTAGCACTTGAGCTTCTACATTTAAGGTTCCCATTTGCTTGACATTTTGAGAAATTGATTTTTTTTTTTTGGAAATGGCTTATTTGCCAAATAAAATTGCTTATTTGTCTTAGAACTCAATTTCTGCTCATCGTCTAATTCTTTTTTTTCCGAATTTGTTTACTTGAACTTCTATAGAAATGAGGATTTTAATGGATGATTTTTATCTAAATATTTGGACTTTTTTTATATAGGTTCCAAAGTTTTTTTCTTTGTTTTACTTTTTTCTGATATGTGTATGTTATATTATTTGATTCAGTGTCACTAGGTACTTAGAGCAGAGGCTGTCAATCTTGGCTGCATGATACAGTCATGTATCATGAGAGAGAGCTTAAAACATGCTGATACTTGGGCCCCACCGGGGTTTAGGGTGTGGCCTGAGTACTAGGATTTTCAGAAGTTCCTCAAGTGATTCTACTTTGCAGCCAAGCTGAAGAAACCCTTGGCTAAAGTATTTCGGAGGTAACTGAAACATGCTGTGGTGCTTCTGAAAAGTAGGTAACCATGGCTCGTTTGAGTGGTGTGATCAGTCTGTCCTCTCATGTCTCTCACTAAGAATAGAGTGAAATGATTAGAATTGGGATGGTAGAAATTAAATAAGGCATATAAATGGATAGACTAAATTTAAGGCCTTTAAATTCCTGTGTGGTGGGGGAAAAGTTAACAGTTCTCATTTTGAGCTTTATACTAATCAGAGTAGTTTGGCTCATTAGTTAAGTCAGAAATTAACAACCTGCTTTTAGAGCCTGTAGCAATTACTAACTTATTGTCAGTATAGTTAGGCAGACATTGTCTCACACTCTTGTTGACTTTGTCACCTACTTTAAGTGTAATACGTACTCTGTTACCATAAGAGGATCTTTGTTTACTCCAGTAACAAGATGTTGGACAAGGACTTGTAAACCCAAATAGGTACCTCCCTGAGGTATCAGAAAGCTTTCAGAAAGATATCACACTGAACTTTAGACCACTCCTTTCTTTTATTCTGTAAAGTAATCCAGTCTATTTCCAGCTTGGAATTGGGAGCTGAGATCAGGCTAGGGATGTTTACTGTGATTTCTCTGTTTGGTTTGAAGTATTGTGATTTCCCACAATACGCCCATATCTTGCAGCTTGTACTGCAGCTGGGTTGCCAATTTTTTTTTTTTAACATCTATATAGCATATTAGCAGAGTGTCTGAAAATAGTGGGGCTTTGTGAATAGTATGAACAACTGGACAGAATGGGGTTCAAAGCCTAGGTTTTCTATTTTATAGACTGTTACCTTGGCTTATTTAACTTATTTAGCCTTAATTTGTACATCTGGAAAATTGCAGAAATGATATCTAAATTCCAGGTTTGTTAATGAGCTAAGATATTTTAGATTCTTAACAGTGCCTGCCCACAGTTGGTCTGTAATAAATAATAGTTTCCTATCTTTCAGATTGAATTATTCTAGATAATTATTCTACTAAAAATGGTACCTGAGAACAAACTAAGTTCTAAATTTTCTTTAATAATGAATCTTATTATTAATAATGACTATTGGATGTGATGTATATAAGAGTCATATTTTATGTAGCTGAATTTCTGATAAACCTAATAATCTCCTGGTAAAGGTATTGATACCATACCTTTGTTTATCATAATAGGTTTTATAATTTTTCATTGTGTTTAGATACATTTTACAAGAACTCAAAGATTCTTACATTGTGAATGGAGAAATTAGAAAACTGATAATATAGACTGGGAAGTATAGTATAGGCAGGGCATGAATACCTAGGTTCATACATACACAGTGAAAATACAGGTGTAATATAGGCCATGCTGCGGTGTAACCAAATCAAATTAGTTCATTAAAAAATGTTTATAGCATTCCTCTGTGTGCCCAAATAAACTCGTTGTAATAACAAAATTTTTTCATTTTTTAAGGCACAATTCAAATGTGGTCTGCTTTATGAGGTCGTCACCTTCCTCCCCGCCGACTGCTGCCCCCTTCCTTAATGAGAAATCCCTTTTCTCTGTATTCCTCTGGTATGTGATCTCTGTCCTGGCACCTACTTCACTGTTTCATAAGAAAAGTAATGCTGCACCTACGTGTCAGACATTGGGTTGAAGGTTGTGTGGAGTCCTAGTTAAGGGCACTGACTTTGACATCAGAGAGATGTTAATTTTAATTTGTCACTTGTTGTGTAAAGATTTGTCCTTTCTGAGATCAGTTTACTTAACAGTAAGACAAGGATAAAAGCTTCTACCTCATGGTTTTGTTGAAAGATTAAGTGGCTTAAGTGGCCCACTATAGTAAGTGTTCAATAGATGGTTATTGGTGTATGGCATGTTATTTGTTGTGTGTAAATATGATATATGACTGAAATAAAATCTCCTACACTGTGCACTTTTTAGGACAGGGAACTATCACTTGGCATTTTGCGTAAGGTTTAATAAGTTAGCAAATATTTGTTGATAGAATACATTAACTTTCACCTTCACTTGACTTTTAAAAAGAACAGAAATATTTCATAGAAGTTGTCTTCTAAATGAGTTTGTTTTAAAAATCCCTACAGGTACTTTCTCATCCTATAACTTCAGTGTCCTGAAATCTGAGGATTCCACCAAGATAATATGATAGGAACTTCCAGTGACTTGGAGCCATATCCTACTTAGACTAATGCAGTCCTTCCAGATTTCTGAGAGCTTGGTACAACAGCACTCGCTGTAACAGGCACAGGCAATAATGCCATCTTTGCCTCAAGAAAGAGGTAAGCAGATTGACGTAGTCACATCATTATAGATCATCACTGAGAATTTTTTCTAAGAATCAAAGATCAATTGAGGAGTCTTAAAGAACCAGAATTTATAGTTTTACTTTTTTTTTTGTGGTGGGGGGGCATCTGTGTTCTCTGCTATGGAATTTTTGTTATTTTAGTGATATTTGATTGGTTTACATTTCTTTTAAAGTCATTCAGGGACCCTCTCCCCTGGATCTGAGTACAGAATTGCCTTATCAAAGCACAATGAAAAGGAAAGTCCGAAAGAAGAAAAAGAAGGGAACCATTACAGCAAATGTTGCCGGGACAAAGTTTGAAATTGGTGGGTCTCCTCAGAATCATGAGGTTTTCCTCACTGTTGGAAAGACTAAATTCAGGGAGATATCTTTTGTGTAATTGATTTTTAAATGCCTTCTATAAATTGTTCTTTTTTATGAGATATTTAACATGTTAATAAACAAAAACATCAATGCAAACTAAAAGCTTTAGCTACTAATGGGATGGTATTATATATATGTACTTTTGGTTAATACTTATTTTTTAAATCAAGTATGAAGTAAACGTTAAACAGATTAAAATGTTAGATGTAAAATTAAAAAAGTACAAAATTTGAGATTTTTATTAAACAATGACTTACTTCAGGAAGAGAGTAGAAACACATTTCTCTCTGTGTTTTAAAAAATTGTTTTGATGATGCTGTTGCTTTTTATTAATGAAATTCCAGTTTTTATGTATAAGTAGTATCTGTGGTATAGCGAATAGATAAGAAGAATAATTGTTTTAAATTAAGATGCACTTGCCCAGTATTGCAGAACTCTTAACAAATACCAGAAGTACTCAACTGATCTTCCTCTTAGCCATTTTGCTTTAAGAGAGTTAGGGAAAATCATATGAACTTCAAGGATGTTAATTATTCTTACCCTTATTCATCTTTGAGAGTCTTATTTCCATTTACAGTAATTCACCAAAGTTCTTGAGCAATCAGTGGAATACTTCACTGGAATTGAGGTGCCCCGATACTCTATTCCAGCAAGTGGTCCTCAGAGGCGGGGACTTGAACAAGTTAGCATGGGAGGGTGAGATGTGAAAGATTCAGGGTTTATTTGCAGCATGTTTTCTAGAAACAAGAGTAAGGTGACCATTGTTAAAGTGATTGATGGTTGGTGTTACCTTATCCTCTTACTTACTTTTAAGGTTCTGGTGGGGTTCATAAGGAACCTTGATCTGTAGGAGAGTGTTTCAGTTCACTTCCCTCTCACTTTCCCAGGAAGTGTTCCCAGGGCTGAAGTTGCCTTAGCATTCTTTATACGGATTCCTACCTCCTTGCTGGACCTGCGCCGTGGTGTTTAACAGAATTCCTGGCTCAGTCCTTGGATCAGGGACTGTTGGGAGAATACAGAGCCAAGTATAGGGAAGAGAAAGAGAGAATTGGCCATGTGTCAAGGAGAAAGTGCTACCTTGCTTTTCCCTTATTTAAGCCAGTGATATGCAACAGCTTACTTCTTATAATTTAATTCCTGCTCTCTTGGCAGTTTGAATTACATAATGAAAATACACTTAAGCCATAGTCAGCACACCTGTGTTTTTGCCCTGGTGTTGCCTGTTTCTTCATGTAGAATACTTTGCTGTAGTTTTAATAGTAATATTTTTATAACCATTGACTAAACATTTCCGCAGGCAGTACCTCATTTAATCTTCCAAATAACCCTGTAAAATAGGCTGCATTACTCCCTTCCTCTCTTTTCCCTGCCTTTCCTCACTCTAATAGTGAGGTGAATTTGAAGTGGCATATAGCCATAAGAAAATAAACATGGAAAAATAAAGATAGTAAAATAAGATGAATCTTGTGGCTGGCAAGAATCCAAAATACATACCATGAGACCCTCTATAGTTAGAGATGGACACGGATTTGACTCAGAGCTTCCTAGCAACCAAAGCAAACATTAAATCATAATGAGGTATAGGATGCACAGTGCCCAGAAGATAAAATTGTACTCGTTATTCAAAGGACATATGACTTCTGTATTCCTGAGTCTTGAGAGAAATTTCTCTAATAGTTTCTTATGAAGACATGTTGTGGAATAATGAAGTACATTCTCTCAGTAGTTTTATAATTATTACATTATGAAATTCCACATTATTTTTTATACATCCTTTATAGCAAAGTTGAAGAAACAAGTCCAGAGTTAGCAACTTATCCAAGTTCACACAGATGGCAAAAGTGGAACTTGAACCTGAATTCATTTGTTTTCAAATTCAGTTTTCTTTTTACTATATCATATTGCCCAAATAAAATGTGAATTGGAATTTAAAATGAGAAACACAAATGTTTCTTCTGTATCTAAAATTCAGAGAGTTGCATGGATTCCTATTTTTAAAACTCCTGAACAGCCTCTGAAAGCTCTGTGGGTCAAGGCAAAAGATCATAGGACAAATTGTGAGGAATGTATTTTTGATAATTTTTATTAAATGCCGACGAGAAAGATCAGAGGGGGGGGTATGTAAGTATGCAAAGGGAAACGTGAGGAAATGGTTCATATGGTTATCTCTATTTTACCAATGAGGCATTTGGTTTGGTAGAAATTCAGTATGGAGGCAAGTATTTCACCCCCCTTTTAAAAGAGAGCTCCTAAAATATCAGCATTTAAAGGCGTGGAGTTAGGCTTTAGCTGTCAACAACTTTCTATTTGGAACTGACGCATTAAACGGATTTCTTTTCTGTGCAGTGGAGGATGATATCCTTAAAAGATTCCAATTGATTTCTAAAATTTCAGTTCAAATAAAAATTTGATTAAATAGCTTACCTGAAAAAAGTGACATTTTAATACCCGGCGTTGTATTTTTCTTTGAAGTTCAACTTTGTCAGCCCTTCAAGCTTTGAATTTCATAATAAAAGAGATTTATATATGACTGACCTTACAGATTTGCTTTTGTGAATCTAAGGAAAGAATGGATCTTTTCCACTATTGTTATATAACCCGAATGTTCCCAGCCTCACTGGTTCATGCACACATTCATAACTACGTTGTAGTAGCTCATTATACTTCCTCCCTCTGTAACTGCCACCGGTTCCCTTTCTCTCTTTAAGGTCTTCTCGGTTATTTCTGAGCAGCCCCAGACAACATCTCTCCTGAACTCAGGAACAGGTCTGTCTTGAGCTGCTATTCTGGCCTCATTATTTTTTTTCTGCTTATGAGTGAGGTAAAGCAGTCTTCCAGGCTGGGTGGCTATGGCCGTTGTCCTTCCTGTGAGTCCTTTCTAGGTGGCATGGCAGGTCCCGAGCCCTCAGGTCACCAAAGCTGCATGGTGGTCTGGGGCAGACAAGAGAATAGCCCTTCCCCCAACTCTTGCTTTGTACATTGTCACCTGGACCTTCAGAACAGCCCCAAGTTTTCCCAAGCCTCTCACGGAAAATGGCAACTTCAGCTCAGCATTCCTCCCCAACCCCAGCATCACACACCTCCAATCACTGTTCTCTTCTTTTATGCCTGTGTTCTAGGAACCATTGCATAGAAAGTCCTTTCTTTCTCCTCAGCCAAAAAGCCATCAAGAGTCTCTAGGACTTGAGACTGACAAGTGTCTGCTCATCACTTTTATACTTGAGCCAAGTAAATTCAGACAGTTGATCCCCTCTTACCATTTCTCCTCATATATAGGGTATACAGTAAAAGGAAAACATTTAAAAATAAAACATTGAAGTGCTGCTATATAGTTACACCTTTCTATTAAGACTCATATGATCTCACTGATCTGAGGAATTCTTAATCTCAGGAAACAAACTGAGAGTTGCTGGAGTGGTGGGGGGGTGGGAGGTGGGAGGGATGGGGTGGCTGGGTGATAGACATTGGGGAGGGTACGTGCTACTGTGAGCGCTGTGAATTGTGTCAGACTGTTGAATCACAGACCTGTACCTCTGAAACAAATAATACATCATATGTTAAAAAAAAAAAAAAGGAAGAAGATAGCAGGAAGGGAAAAATGAAGGGGGGAAATCGGAGGGGGAGATGAACCATGAGAGACTATGGACTCTGAGAAACAAACTGAGGGTTCTAGAGGGGAGGCGGGTGGGGGGATGGGTTAGCCTTGTGATGGGTATTAAAGAGGGCACGTTCTGCATGGAGCACTGGGTCTGATACGCAAACCATGAATCATGGAACACTACATCAAAAAATAATGGTGATTAACATAACGTAATAATAAAAACATAAAAAAATACTAATGATGTAATGTATGGTGATTAACATAACAATAAAACAAAATAAAATAAATATTTTATAAAAAAAAGACTCAGAATTCTGTTGGAAACCAAAATTTATCCTAAATATTTTGCTTATCTTTATTCCAAACTTGAAATTCATTGGAAGACAAATGTTAGTATGTTAATCAGAGGGGAGCATATAAATAGTTTGTACTGAAAAACAAGCTTTCTTCCAAGCATAAATTTTTTCAATAGGATTAAAGGGTTAGGAGCAGATAGGAGGGCCAGTTTCCAGATCTCTATTGTGAATTCTGCTTCATTATTTCATTTCCTGAGTCAACATAGCTGACTTGGTTTTAACTGCTAAAAATAATTTGAACTGGGGAGGTGGAAAGTATAGGATAGGTCTAATGATCAGGAACTATTTTTCCCTTTTCCCTTTTAGCCCAAGGTCACAAAAAAAGCCATGAAGTACATTTTCCTGAGTAGAGGTGTTGTCTCAGCTGTGTGTATGTTTTCAATGTGCCATGAATAATCACTGAACTCTTTAGCAGTGTTGTGTACCTGCTAAATCTCAGAGGGTTGAATCCAAGGATTTTGAGTGCAACTTAAAAACAGTTCTCAGTTACTGTGAGTATAATTTGGCCCTAGATAAATTGTTGTAACTAAAAATAAGGGTATGCTGTAACTAATGGATATTTTGCAAATGAAATACTGTGAGATAAAATTTAAATATATCAAAAATGTTTCCACAACAAATATATTTCAGTAGTATTTTAATTTTCATTTCACTTAATCATTTATTTGCAGTTCGTTTAGTAATAGATGAAATGGGATTTATGAAAACTCCAGATGAGGATGAAACAAGTAACCTTATATGGTGTGATTCTGCGGTTCAGCAGGAAAAGATTGCAGAGCTGCAAAATTACCAGGTGGGGATTAATCATGACCAATTATTGGTTTTAGGAGAGTTATATGAATTCCATTGTAATTTTACTTAGAGTTCTTAATGCGTGGACATATTAAATTTCAGTTCTAACTTACCTAAATAGTGTGTTTTGTTGCTGTCCAGTTGTGCTTTGCATAAAAGCCTGAATTCCTTCCAATCTAACTTTTAACCTCTTTCCATCTTTAAGGAAGAATTAACAGGAGAAAACGCTTCCTACATGGGTGCTTTGCATTATGCTTAAAGACGAGTGACATGGAGTAGATTGCACAGAGAGATCAGGAAGTGGAAATACCTTGTAATGTCTGCTATGTGTAATCTGGCTTCATTTATTTTTAGAATGTCAAACAAACATATTAAAAAAGAGACGTCAAACTAAAAAGCCAAATACACAGAATTTTAGACAGTCGACATTTTGTATAGTTTGTCAGTATAGAACGTAATACAAAATTGACTATAGGAAACAAACAAGGCCATTTTCGCCAGTATTTCTACAATGCTTATCTGTATGAATATAGTAAATATAGAATACTAGAAATAATTTGGACATTGAATCACCAGTTATTCAACACAGAAAATTGTAACTTTAATATCTGTGTAAACGCCATTTTCTAATTTCTTAAAAAATTTGCAATTTTATTCTTTGATTATTGTAGATTCTTTAATTCTATAAAGTCATTATAAGTCATTTAATTTTAAATGTTTTACATTAATAGTTTTTTTAAAACATTAAACTCAGAGGATGGATGTAACTCTATTATAGTATAAATGAATATATATTCATTAAGTCCATGAGAATATTAATATTTACCTTTATATTTTCCAGAGGATCAACCATTTTCCAGGAATGGGGGAGATCTGTCGAAAGGATTTCTTAGCAAGAAATATGACCAAGTAATCTTCATTTTCTTATAATAGAGAAGACCTTCTCAAAGTTTGTTTTGAATATTATAGTGTATCCTTCACCAGGTTACATTGATTTGAAATGATATTTTGATGGAAGAGATAGAATTTTAGAGCTAGCAGGTCTTAGAAGTTTCCTGGTTCTTCCTTCATTTTTCAGAGGAGGTAACTTAGAATCAGAGAAATGAGTATCTTGCACAAGTCAAACAAATAGTTAATAGCAGAGCTGGAGCAGAATCCTGGTCTCCAGAATCTCAGGCTTCTTTTTTACTGCAATTTAGCAACATAATACACTGTGTGTGTATGTGTAGTTCATATCCTGGTTATTGAGCATCTGTATGTTATTGAGCATCTAATGTGTGCCAGACACTATAGTAGGTGCATTTGTGCACTCACTTACACATAGACACGTGTGTCTGTCCCTACCCAGGGATATACATGTATATATATTTATCTCTGAGACCAGTATTTGGAGTAACAATCTGCTTTTATGGGAAAAACTGTTCACAGTTTCTCAAGTGTTATACCAAATGAACTGCAGAAATTTTATGCAATTTATATTTCCGTGGATTAGGTTTTTTTTTTTAGTTTAAGGAAGTTGAGTGATAATTTGAGAAAGTTTTTAAAAAAGAAAACTCAAACAGAGAAAGGTTAGTAAACTTGGTATGCAACTGACTATTTATAGGCATCATGTGAAAGTTTATACACCCACTCACTCAACAAATATTTTTTGTGTGTCTACTATAGACTAGAGACTGCTAACAAGCAAACAAGACAAAGAAGGCCTGGTCCCTGACTAGAACTCAAATTTTAGTAAGGGAGAAAGAGTGATACATATAATACAGTTTGATGGTACCACATTAGGGGAGAGTCATTGTATGGCTGTGACAAGGATGATGACAAAGGTCGTTTCTAGGAGGGCCCAGATGGTTTTCTGGAGAATTCGAATGCAAAATGGATATCGAAAAGTGTATAGGAGTTCACCCTTTGAGAAGAAGGCAACGAGACTATAGGCAAAGACAACAGTGGGAGAAACTATATGGAGACTTAAACCAATATGATATGTTTGGGGAACTACTAAGCAGTTTCTGTGGTTTTATAGGGCACCAGGAGGCTCAGTGTAAGATGATGCTGCAGATAAATGCAAAGGCCAGGCTGGGTACACCGTGTTACTATGTTTTATTCAATCATTTAATCATTGATTCTTTAATCTCTTTAACTATGCAGCAAATATTTCTGTTTATCCTGAGAGAAATGAGAACTTTTTTAATGGGTTTAAGCAGAGAAATGTTGTTTTTGATACTCTTGGTGGGCCTGTAGATAATGGATTCAAAGAAGGTAGAAAGGAAGGAGGAAGCCCTGAAGGAGGTGATTGTCAACATCTGATAACCCAAAGGAGAGGTAGTGGGAATGGGGTAGAGAAAATACATCTGGAAAATAGGGAAGAGATAGAATTGACAGGACTGGGAAGCTGCTGTGATGTGAGACTCAAAGGGGAGGCGGAGAGCAGTGTCCAAGATCGTGTAGGTGGGGCAATTTAGTAACACAGGGTTATAGGAAGAACAGCCTTCAGAGGAAAGGGAATTCCCTCTGTAAAGTTTTGGACATGTGTTTCGTTGAAGTCATTTACTTTCATCTAACATATTTATTAAATATCTATTATATGCTGCGCAGTGCACTAGGCTTTGGGCACATGAGGTGATCAAAATCAGATTTTTGGCTTTTACAACTTTGGGTTGCAGCTGTGATAAGTGCAGTGAAGTAGAGATACATAGTTGTAAATCAGTGCCCAGTGAAGGACTTCTGGCTGAGGGAGGCATTGGAGAGTTTCCCTGAGGATGTGATGTGGAAGCCTAAATATGAATGCTGAGTAGGAGTTTATTGATGAAAATGGTAGAGAACAGCTTTCTGGGCAGGAAGAATAGTATGGTCTGAGGTCATAATGCTGGAAGACAGCAGGAATATTCAGGATACTGAAACAAAGCCGGGTGTAGCTGGAGCAGAGACATTGATGGGCATGGGAGAGATTAGCTGAATGGTGATGGTTGGGATCATAGTCCTTATCCTAAATTCCACGGGAGAGGAGGGGTGGGGGTGGAGCTGGTAAAATGGCCATATTTGCATTTTGAAAAGATCATTCTACCTGCTTTGTAGAGAACAGAAGTCGGTATGGCTGAGAGAGGCAAGAGGGTTAAATGTAGACCCATTAGTAGCTATTACAAATAGGCAATTTCTCATTTTTATAGAATCCTTGGAATTTTCCTTAAGGAAAAAGGAATCTTCTATTAGATGGAAAGTTATGACCTATTTATATAAAAACAGAATTAACTAAATTACATGTTTAATATCGTTTAGTAAATCCATGACAGCTATGAGCAGAAATGATTCCATATTTCCAAATTCCTAAGACTGCATGTCTGTTTTGAAGCTATACATTTTTACATCAAATGATTTGTGCTAGATTGCTAAATGGAATAAAGTATTTCTCTTGAATATATGCATGCTTGGATTTTTTTCCAAATATATATGTGAAAGAATGGTATCATTCATAAATACTCTATGTGGTTAGTTTAAAATATATTATTTTAATTAAAACTTTAAATTGATCTAATTTCATATCATTGTTAAAAATATAATAAATACATTTAAAGGTATTGGACACAAAAACAAGGACATTAGCATTGTTACTGTGTTTCCTTTAGCTCTGTGTATATGTGTGTATGTGTGTTTTCCAAACCAGTCAATGTTATCCTATTTTGTATTGAGATTATTTAGCTTATTGGCTTATTCTGGATTTGACAGGTAGAGTTGGTAATTGCTTCCCTTCTCATGGGGTAGAGAAGAAATATAACTTTCTTATAGGTGGAAAGATAACTTTCTTACAGGGTTTTCTTGAAAGAGCACTTGAAATATGATATATTTGGTGGAAATATAACTTTCTTACAGGGTTTTCTTGAAAGAGCACTTGAAATATGATAACCATAGGAACCTACAGTTGTGGAGGCCAGGTGGCTTATATATTCCATACCCTAGTTTTAGAATTTAGGCCCTACCTCTGTGCATCCCATGTACTGTGGTCCCATTTTAGATTTTACCAATCTCATCTGGAGACAATATCTCCTTATCTATAAAAGACTTGCATACGTTTATTAAAAGGACCTTTTTTTGAAATAATCAGATTTTCTTTAATAGATAATATTTTAAAATATTTCTTCTAATTTCTTCATTTTTATTGGGAATCAATATGTACAAAATGGTTAATATTTGGGATTAATCAAAAGTAAACATTTTATGCCTAGTTTTATTCTTAAGTTATGTATCAAATAGGCAGCCTGATTAGTAGCAAACATAAAAATATCAGGACATACATTGTAGCCATAAAACCACAGGTATAGGGATATGTAGCTCATGTTAAAACAAAACAAAACAAAATTTCTAGTATACTCAGAGACTCACATCGTTTTCTCAGAAAAGTAGTTAAACTTCAAAAACAGTGTAGTAAAAGTTGATCAAAACTGCTCCTTATGGGTGCCTCAGAGGACTTAAAATTATAAAGAAGCAGCATGAATGGTACCTGGCAGTGAACAATTTCCTGCTACCCACCCTCTTATCCCAGAGGCAGAGTTAATGACTATTTCCGTATGTTACCTTGCCATGTATGTCTTTATTGCACTTACTACATTGTATTTAATAGCCTATATGTAAATTCCTTAGGGTAGAGACCATATTAATTTATATTAATATCTCTAGTCCCTAGCATATAGTATATACTTGAATGATCTATCAGTATATTAATTAGTACATAGAACAGAGAATCTTGTCTGTATTTTTCACTGATATATCCCCTGTGTCCAGAATAATGCCTAGCACATAAGAGGTACTTTATAGACCTTTGTTGAATGAATCAGTAAATGAAGAACTGGTGGGAATTTAAATCCTTGCAATGTCAGTAGCACAAAGAAAATTTGGAAAAGTTTGAATAGAAATTACTTTTCATATTATCTCTAATTTACAGAATGATCAAGTCCCGGCCTCTGGATTATACCTTTGTTCCTCGAACATGGATCTTTCCTGCTGAATATACGCAATTCCAGAACTACATGAAAGAATTGAAGAAAAAAAGAAAGCAGAAAACTTTTATAGTAAAACCAGCTAATGGTGCAATGGGTCATGGGTAGGTATTTTTCACCCAGAACATATAAAAGTTTTAAAAAAACTTGGGCAAAAAGAATAAATGTGAGCATTCACTCATGGTTGAATACGAAAAAAATAATAAAATGGGTCTCTATTGCTTTTTTGGAACTAAATATTTATTGAGCCATTTTACCCTGTCCCACAGGCTTCAGTTATTGAATTTAAAGATTAAATCAGTTGAAAGACTTTAGTAGGAGACAACAAAACAGAAAAAAAAAAGATGTTTTCTAATTTTTTCTTAAATATAAAATTTGTATTTATAATAATTTTAGAGTAAGCTTGGAGGGTAAAATTAAGTTGATATGGTAGAGCTAAATTGACTTGGAGAAAAAAAATGGTAAGGTAGTTACTCTTTCAATAGCTAGAAATTTAAAGCAAGGTAAGTATGTCCCCTTTGCTTTACATATAAGTTTTTTTTCTTTATGGAGCCATGGTGATTGAATTGAGAATGAGTAAAACACATTTTAAGCTAAAGTACCACAAACTAGTCTAGTGTTAGCTGAACATAGATTACACAACTTAATATTCCTGTGTCCTTTTGCTTTCTAATGTTCATTTTCTGCAATGTACATTTTCAGAGAAAATGTGGCTGAGGCTGCTTTTATTTTTTTATTTTTAAAGATTTTATTTATATATTTGTCAGAGAGAGAGAGAGAGAGAGAGGGCGTACAAGCAGGGGAAGTGGCAGGCAGATGGAGGAGCAGGTCCCTGCTGAGTAAGGGCCTGATGCGAGACTTGATCCCAGGACCCCAGGATCATGACCTGAGCCAAAGGCAGACACTTAACTGACTGGGCAACCCAGACATCCCGAGACTGCTTTTAATAAAAACACATATGTTATTTTAATCTTTTGATTTATCATTTTATCATTACATATTGTCCTTGTCTCATAACAATTTTTCTCTTAAAGTCTATTTTGTGTAATACTAGTTTACCACTCCAGTTCTCTTTTTGTTACTTTTGGCATGGAATATCTTTTCCATTTGTTCACTTTCAGGTTATTTGAATCTTTGAATCTAAAGTGAATCTCTTGTAGACAATGTGTGATTGGACCATGGTTTTTTTTTTTTTTTTTTCATTCTGCCAGTGCTTGTCTTAGTTGGAGAGTTAATCCATTTGTAATTATTGATAAGGAAAGACTTACTTCAGCCATTTTGCTATTTGTTTTCCATGTCTTAATATAGTTTTCATTCCTCAATTCCTCCTTTTCTACTCTCTTGTATTTAGATATTAGATATTTCTTGTATTTAGATATTAGATAAAATTAGATATTTTCTTATGTGCCAATTTTCTTTTACTATATATTTGAGTTTTTAAAAAATTTTATTAATTATTATTTTTTTCAGGAATAGAATTTATTGACTCATCACTTACATACAACACCCAGTGCTCATCATAACAAGTGCTGTCCTTAATACCCATCATCTGTTTAGCTCATCCCCCACCCACCTCCCTCCATCAACCCTCAGTTTGTCCTCTATTGTTAAGAGTCTCTTACGGTTTGCCTCCCCCTCTCTCCTTCTCTCTTTCTTTTCTACTTCACACATGTTCATCTCTTTTGTTTCCTAAATTCCCATATGAGTGAAATCATAAGGTATTTGTCTTTCTCTGACTGACTTATTTCATTTAACGTAATACACTCTAGCTCTATTCACTTCCCTGCAAATGGCAAGATTTCATTCTTTTTGATGGCTGAGTAATTTTCCATCGCAGATATATACACCACATCTTCTTTATCCATTCATCAGTCAGTGGACACTTGGGCTCTTTCCACAGTTTGCTATTGTTGATGATCCTGCTATAAAAAATCAGGGTACATGTACCCCTTTGAATCTGTATAGGAGTTTTTTTTATTTTTAATGGTTTCCCTGGGATTATAATGAACACCTCAATTTATAATAATCTTGTTTAGATTAATATCAACTTAGTTTCAATAGTAAAACAAAAACAAAAACCTCACCTTGCTTCTATATAGCTCTGTCCCTCTTTATATTATTATTGTTACAAATTACATTTTCATACATTGTGTACCCATCAACATAGATTTATAATTATTGTTTAATGCAGTTGTATTTTAAATAATATAGGAAAAAAGCATAGTTACAAATCTAAACTACATTAATAGTGACTTTCATATTTACTTATGTAGTCACCTTTACCTGGTGTTTTTTATTTCTTTGTGTGGATTTGAGTTACTCTCTAGTGTCCTTTCATTTCAGTCAGAAGAATACTCTTTAGCATTTCTTATAGGCCAACTATACTAGCAACAAACTATCAGTTTTTATCTGGGAATGTCTTAATTTCTCCTTCAGTTTTGAATACTTTTGCCAGATATACAATTATGGGCTAGCAGGTTTTGTTTTGTTTTTTTCCTCTGTCTTTCTGTCAACACTTTGAATATACCATCTCACTGCCTTTGGTCTCCATTGTTTCTGATGAGAAATCAGCTATTTATCTTATTGAGGATCCATAGGGTGTGATAAGTAGCTTTCAAGATTGTCTTGGCTCTTGACAGTTTTAGCATATTATGTCAGTGTGGATCTCTTTGAATTTATCCTACTTGGAGTTCATTGAGTTCTTTGGATATATAGTTAATGTTTTTCATCAAATTGGAAAGTTTTCAGCCATTAATTCTTCAAATATTCTTTCTGTCCCTTTCTCTCTCTCCTCTCCTTTTGAGATTCCCATTATGTGTATGTTGGTATTCTTAATGGTGTCCCACAGGACTTTTAAGCTCTGTTCATTTTTCTTCATTCTTTTTTCTTTCTGTTCCTCAGACTAGTCATTCTCAATTGACCTACCTTCAAGGTCATTAATTTTTTTTCTGACTTCTTAAATCTTCTGTTTAGCCTCTCTAATGAATTTTTTGTTGCAGTTATTGTATTTTTAACTCCGGAATTTCAGTTTGGGTCCCTCCACTCTTCTTAAAAACAACAACAACAACAACAACAATAACAAAAACTTCTATCTCTATTGATGTTCTCTATTTGGGGAGACATCATTTTCATGGTTTCCTTCAGTTCTCTCCATATGGTTTCCTCTAACTCTTTGAACAGATTTAAAACAGTTGATCTAAATAATTGATTGTGTAGTAAGCCCAATGTCTGTCTTTCAATTAATTGGTAAGTTTCCTGTGTATGTGTCATACTTTCTTTTTTCTTTGCATGACTCATAATTTTTTGTTGAAAGCCAGACATTTTGAATGTTATAATGTAGCAACTCTGGAAATCAGATTCTCCCCCCTCTACAAGGTTTTTTTCGCTGCTGCTTGCTATGGTTGCTCTTTATTTGTTTAGTGATCTTTCTGAAATAATTTTGTGAAGTCTATATTTTTTGTTGCGTGTGGCACTCAAGTTCCTGTTCTGTTGGGTCAGTGCTCAGCTAGTAAGTGGACAGAGATTTGCAACCAACAAAACAAAACAAAATAAAACAAGAAAACCTCCCTCAAACCCAAACTCCCAGTCCTTGCAGAAGGGGTGTATGTGTGTGTTGGAACATGCCTTGAACACTCAACTAGGCAGTTTATTTTTTTATTTAATTTAATTTTACTATGTTATGTTAGTCACCATACAATACATCATTAGTTTTTGATATTGTGTTCCATGATTCATTGTTTTCATATAACACCCAGGGCTCCATGCAATACGTGCCCTCCTTAATACCCATCACCAGTCTAACCCATCCCCTCACCCCCCTCCCTTCTAAAACCTTCAGTTTGTTTCTCGGAGTCCATAGTCTCTCATGGTTCATCTCCCCCTCAGATTTCGCCCCCTTCATTTTTCCCTTCCTTCTCCTAATGTCCTCCATGATATTCCTTATGTTCCACAAATAAGTGAAACCATATGATAATTGACTTTCTCTGCTTGACTTTTTTCGGTTAGCATAATCTCCTCCAGTCCCTACGGGCGGTTTAAGACTCTGCCCTACTCTTCATTTCCTGCTTGTGCAGAACCTGATGGTTAGTCAGAGGTAAGAGCTTAGGTAGGGCCTTTCAAGTCTTTCCTGAGCATGCACTTAGCCTTGGGCATGCACATGGCATTCTAGATTTCCAGAAATATGTCTGATTTTTCAAAGCTTTTATTTCCCAAAGATTCTCATACTTCAGTTTTTCTTCCCAATATTTTTGGTTAGTATATTGTTTTCCCCAACCTTTATTGGTTGTCATAGGCAGTGGGAACTAATGCATTCGCTTTAAATGTTTTCAACAAGCCCCTTCCCCCTCCCCCCCCCCCCGCCCAAGTAGCTGCCTCAACACTAGCAGAGTTCCTAATTAGGCAAGATAAGAGCAGTCCTTGAGTTCCTTCAGGGAGCCACCAGACAAGTAAAACAACAACAATAACAACAACAAAACTACCACAAGAATAAGGTCTATTCTGCTCCCTCCAGAACCAGGACCTGTACTGGGAACATGGGCTGTTGTCCAAGGCCATTGATAAGTTGAGGTTGGGGGATGGGACCAGAGTAAGTTAAAATGCCACAAAGCTCTTTTACATAGATTAGACTATTTTTTTTTTTTTTTTTGATTAAGTGTTCTCTGGTTGTTACAAGCTTTTGGTTAGTTTCTAGGTTTCCAAAAAAGTTGATTCTCACAATTTTTTGACTGTTTATTGCATTTGTGGAGGGACAGACTTTGGAGTTCCCTACTACACCATTTTCCTCTTGAGTATTATGTGTAACTTTGTAAACATCTTGACCCCATTTCAGATTAGTCATTTAATTCTTTTTTTTTTAAACGAAGTTACCTTTTTTTTTTTAAAGATTTTATTTATTTATTTGATAGAGAGAGACACAGTGAGAGAGGGAACACTAGCAGAAGGAGTGGGAGAGGGAGAAGCAGGCTTCCCGCTGAGCAGGGAGCCTGATGTGGGCCTCGATCCCAGGACTCTGGGACTATGACCTGAGCCGAAGGCAGACGCTTAACGACTGAGCCACCCAGGTGCCCTAATTCTTTTTTTTTTTAACTTAGGATTTCCTTGATAAGAAATGGTGACAAACTTCCATCTCAGGATCATTTGATTGTTCAAGAATACATCGAAAAGCCTTTCCTAATGGAAGGTTACAAGTTTGATTTACGAATTTATATTCTGGTGACATCGTGTGATCCACTGAAAATATTTCTCTACCATGATGGACTTGTGCGAATGGGAACAGAGAAATACATTCCACCTAATGAGTCTAATTTGGTAAGTGATACCAGACAGAATCTATGGTTTTATTCATTTGTTCAGCTTGTACTTTTTAGAGCATGCATTGTGTGTAAAGATTATATGAATCACAGTACCTCTTTATCAGGTTTTTATAGTCAGGAATTGTGTACAAGACTGCTTCTAATTTATAGACAAATTTGTGAAAATTAGAAAAAAAAAGGTGTCTCCTCCAGCAGGCTAATTAGGAGAAGGCACTCCCTTTGGGTGCTGTGAGCACAAGGATGGCTTTCAAAGCACGTGTGTATGTAGTGGCCTTGCATAGAAATGACATGTACACATGTGTATACAGTGGCCCTATATAGAATTGGATTTCAAAGCACATGTGTATATTCTTTGGCCCTGGATGGAAATGATTTATTTAGAAATGTAAATAAAAATAATATCTCATTGAGAAGTACAGAGTGTCATAGAGTTGAGTGTAGGGATAGTTTATGTTTAGCTTCTCATGGAGGAGGTGGTATTTGAGCAAGCTTTATATGACAGGTATGGTTTAACATGTAGGATGTGGGAGAAAGTATTTGAAACAGAGAAAGTGAGAGTTATCAGAAAGTAGAGTTATTAATTTGTTACTTTGCACAAAAGAAAAGATGGTAAATTTACATTGACCAAATGTAAAGTAGAGACATAAATTGGTAGTTTCAGTGTGTATTTTAAAATCTATTAAATGGAGCCTTCTGTAGATATTTTTCCATTAAGATTTCCTTTATGCAGCCATAACTCATTGCTGAAAGTCATAACTGCAGTTTATGGTTTATGAAGGTCAAACTGTAATTTATTATCATAATTTATCATGAGAGTCACAAACTTTATTATCCATACGTAAAAGTTTAGTTAACCTCTACCCTATTTTTGGACCTACTAATTATAGTAAAAATTATAATTAATTATTATTTCCCATTTTGTCAAAAGCCTGGTTATTGTTCTCCTCCAGTGTTATGCACACAATTATCTGCACTAAAAGTGGTCATATTTTAAAAATTACATAATGACTGTTCATAAATGTTACTATGTTCAATTAATGAAAAATATTGTAAACCTGACAAAGGAAGAAAAAGGGAACTGTAAAAGTTTTCACTGGAAAGGAAGATAAAGGAAAGAATCATCTCTTTGAAGGTCATAAGGTGTGAATATATCCAATCACCAAGTAATATTTGAACTCTACTGCATTCTATGCATTGTGCTGGTTTTGGAAAAACAGTGACCAAGACAGCGACAGTGTTTGACCTCTCAAAAGCAACAGTCTAGTGGGGAGGCAGAAAATAAACTAAGCAATTATAATACCTGATGGTAAGTGTAATGGTCTAAGACACTGAGAGTGCTATGGCAGTGCATAGCAAGGGCATCTAACCCAGCTGGAGATAAAGTTTAGAGAGGGAGTTTGTAAAGTGAAATATGAATAATGGAGGGTTAGCCAGGTTGGGGGCAGGGCGGGGTGGGGTGGAAATCTATAGAGAAAAATGGCCCAGAGTTACCGTGTGTCTGGAGAGAGCACTCATAAAATCAATATGGCTAAATACAGACCATGAAGGGGTGGGTATTCAGAGATGAGGATGAAGAGCCTAGAGGACAGATGCTTCAGGGCTTTTTAGGCCATGTCTAGGATTTTGGAATTTAACCTAAGAAGAAGGGAAGCATTGAAAGATTTTAAAGAAGGAATGAGATTTTTGTCTTAAAGAAGTCACCTGGTCTGTATGTGGGGAATGTGAGAGATGGCTGTAGTTGTAGATGAATGGGAAAAGTGAGGGTAAGGGAGAAGCTGTTTTCTAGTCTAACCACATGTGAGAGGAAAGATGGCCTTATCTAAAGTAGTAGCAATAGGACTATACTAAGAATAAGAACATAGATTTAAGATATATTTATGGTAACGTGGATAACATTGATATACTGACAGGTTGGATTTATAGAACGAGGGAAAAGGAGAGAGAAATTGAGGATAAAACTCAAGAATTTTGGCATTGGCCAGTGGGTGGATGATGTATTATTCACCGTGATAGGAAATATAGGGGCTGCTAAAGGTCTTGCAGGAAGCTGGTGTGTTTGGTTTGACATACCTGTGCAGCCTCCAAATGGATCTATGCTATAAGCATTTGGATGTATAGCATAGGTCTGGAGTTCAGATGAGAGAACCAAGCTACAGACCTAATTTGAGACTTGTCAGCTCTTAGATTATAATTAAAATAATTGGTGTGGATAAGAATGGGTTATAATACATTATAAGGCAGATAGTCATGTTTTGAGAGAAAAGAGTTAGGGAAGACATAGGAAAGGATAAGACTTGTAAGCTCATTTAAGTGATTTATTTTAATATCTTAAATTATATGTATGTGATATTTGCTTAAATATACTGTATTAAGAAATCATAAGCAAAGTTTGGGAGTCAGGCAACATAACCTCTAGGTCTCGCTTTGCCAAGTGCTTTTGAATCACGTAATCTTGTGTCTTTGGTTCACATGTACAAAGAATGACCTTCTATATAAGTGTCAGTGTTCCTTACATATCTCTAAAATTTAAAAGTTCACCTTTTTCAACTCCACGATCAAATTCCTAGATTAAGATATGAAAGAGTAAAAAAAAAAATATATATATATATATACATATATATGTATATAAAATTTTATCTGAAGTGAGATCACAGTTATGTAAAAGGTAAGCTTAAGAAAAAAAGGCTGGAAAAAAAAATCAAAATGCTCTCACTGGTTGGTTTTGGATGGCATACTATTGCATATTTGTTTCTTTCTTCCTATTTCCAATTTTTAAAATAGTGAGCATGTATTTTGTGAAAAGCTGGTATTGGTAAGCTACATATAAGAAGATCATAAGGCAGAGAATTTCAGGCATTGAGATATAATAGCCATTTATTTTTTGCTACCAGTGTAGCAGCTGACCAGTTCTTGAAAAGTTTTATATAACCCAATTCATTGTATTGAGCTTATATGCTAAAAAATAGGGTGGAGAATAGTTATATACTTTTCATTCCTTGAAGGTTGCTGTTTGGTTTATAGCTGTCTTCACTGCTTATGGCCAATGTCCAGCTGGCAATGAACTGCTTAGAAGGGGGTTTTGTTGAGGTAGATGTGAAACTGGAATTTCCAGTCCTACTTGCAAAGATACTGTTTTAAGAAAAATGAACAGTTCCATTTTTTACTCACTTTTTCACTAGGATAGCTAGGGTTTTTATTACTGCTATTATTATTTATTTTTAGAAATTCTTGCCAAATGGAGAGCTCCTCAATAAATTATTTTCCAACTCTTTTTAAATTGAAAAATTTATATTTTGGAAACTAGGAAATGCTATAGTTTGATTAATTTCCTTTTTCTTCAGATCAAGCACTTAGAATTAGACAAGCATAAGATTTATGCTCTTTCTTTTAAATATCACTTAATTTAAAGCTTTTTCTAAGTTTCATTAGGGTAGGGACTCTATCTTGTTTATCTATGTATCCACAGTGCCCAGTACCAGTTCTGCAGATAGTAAGTAGGTGCTCCTTAAATATTGTTTAATGAATGAAAAAATAAATTCTTAATTAGTGATGGGCACATGGGTTCGTAAACAACATGTAACTCAAATGATCACTTCTGCACATTTACTTCAAAGATTTTATATCGTAGACCTAAGTAACTGCAGTGAAAATAAAATATGATACAGATATACTTAGTTATTAACAAACATCAATAGTAATCATGTACATGAAGTACATATTCATTGGGATGCAACATTGCTCTCTAATTTCTGGGAATAGGATCCGAGGGTAGGATATATAGGTTTGATGAATGTTTATGCTAGATTGGTAAGGAATCATTAGCTGTATATTAGTTGACAATTACGAGAGGATTAAAATTTTGGATTCTGCTTCAAGTTATTTGAGGATAACAGTATCAACAAATGTAAAAGTGTAAAGAGACTAAGGCATAACAGCTCCAATAAGGAGTACTGTAAATTTCCTGTTAATCATTTAGACTCTGTACAGCATGTGTGGTGCTTCTGTCTGCCGATTCGAGCTGCGCTCTGTCTTGTGAATGAGTTCAAGTGGCCTCCCAGTCCCTTTCGGAGGCAGAGGTTGTGTTTGGTAGTCCTGCCTTTTGATTTATGCTACTTACTTGAGATATCATTTTTTACTTTTCTTTGAAAAAACATAGAATGCTCTCTCAGAAAATTTTCTTCCCAAAACAAATTTGGGTGAGAACTGTCGCTAAAAACATGAAAAACAAATTAACAAAAACAAGCAGTGTTTTTCTTGCTTAGCAGTGTGTAATTTCACAGTTTCATGCAATTATTTTAATGCTTTCTATAGTAGATATATTTTGAATAATATATAAAGTAACTTTGTAGATGACTACATTTGTAATCCTTTTATTGGAAATGTGCCATTCCATTTAATTTGAAAATTATCTAAATCATGATGAAATTGTCGATCTGTATATTTTAAACTTTAAAATTATCTTTCATCTTTGGTTGCTTTATGATCTGTGAAACCTCATCGTTCTAGAGTCTCATAGATGATAACTTTCGTTCTTACTTGTTACAGACCCAGTTATACATGCATCTAACTAACTACTCTGTGAACAAGCACAATGAGCGTTTTGAAAGGGATGAGACTGAAAACAAAGGGAGCAAACGTTCCATCAAGTGGTTTACAGAATTCCTACAAGCAAATCAACATGATGTTGCTAAGTTTTGGAGTGATATTTCAGTAAGATTATACCATTTTCACAATTATAACTGTCTTTCCTCAGATTAATTTAAAGGATCATCAGCATTTTAAATAAAGAGCAAATTACATTAGATTGAGCAAATAAACTATTTTCATGAAGGAACTGGGAACTGTGACAGACCTTGATAAGCAGTATTTTTACTGCTAGGGATGGGAGAGAGGGAGTTCTAGGTGCAAACAAAAGCATAAGTAAAGGCATAGATGTATGAAAATAGTGATAAGTGGCCCAGGTTGGCACATACGGTATTTTTGAGAATTTTTGGGGGACTTATGGCTGAAAAGATATGTGGAGGCAAAATTTTAGGTCTGAAAATCAAGGCTTAGCTTGATAGGCAGTAAGGATTCAGTCCTTCCAGATTTTAAAGGAGGAAAGTAATAAGGCCAAAGACTATGAATTTAAAAGATAAATCGGAAAGTGGGTATAGTACAGACCAAGACTAGGTAGAGGAAGGCACCTAGAGGTAGTTTAAGTGAAAAGAATGGCCTGAAATGAACCACAGTAGAAGAGGTGACAGTGAGGGTCAGCATTGAAGTTAACTGAATGTCCAAAATCAGGGAGAAGTATTCAGACATTCCTCTGCAGTTTTAAGGAGGAATTATAGGGAGAATTGGGTTTGGCTTTATCTGAAATAGAGTAGAAAGGAATTTATTTTGAGAAGATCTAGAGTCTGGTTTTATAGGTGAGGGTAAAGAGTTCTATTCATTCATTTCATTCAGTCATTCAGTAAACATTTAATGAACCCATAATATATGCTTGTTTCTGGCTGATAATCTGAAGATTTTTATAAGATACAGCTCCAATCCTCAAAAAACTTAGAGTTTGGTAGGAAAGACCCACACAGAAGTTGTTAATAAAATGTAAGTTAGCACATACAACAACAGAGCCATGCCCTAGATTCTGTGGGAATGTAGAGGAAGACCACATATAGTAGCTTTCTATGGGTGGAGATTGGAGGAGGGCTTTCTGGAGGCATTGACACCTGAACTAAATTGTTAAAAGGTCATGAGGCTATGATAATGAGTTCTACTAGAGATTTATTGAACTTAAAATGTTTTCTCAGGTAGAAAGATCAAGCAGGCAGTTAAAAGTATATGTTTGGGGTGTGATTGATGATTAAAGCCATGTCAGTGGATGGCATGGCAAATGATAAGGGTAAAGAGAGAAAAGGAAGCAAATCTGAGAAGCTAACCTCAGTGAAACCGACCCTTTATTAATCTTAGCAGAAGTATCACAATGGTATTCAAAGTTAGAAGAGGATTTAATATGATAAGACTATGCAATATGATTTATCTTTCCTTTCGGGACAAATACTATATAATTTAAATAAATCTACCTTGGAAAATGGACATGAAAGTTCATAGTTGAATTTGATTCTCTTGAGAAAATCAGAAAAATCAGCATCATTATATTTATCCTTTTGTTGTTTTGTTGGTTGGTATTTTTTACACATTATTTTCTATATCACAGAATGTAAATCCAGAGACCCTTGGGTGTTAGACAAGTAAAAAGGAGTGAAATTGTCTGGATAGGTGTAAATAGGGTGTGCTGGGAACTGTGGTAGTTTGAAAAGCATAAGACATTTGAAGAGGTGGACACTACTCAGCACCAGTCTTTTGGTGCTCCATGGTATTTTGGGTCCAGTATGGCTCATTCTTCTAATTTGTCAGTGGAAGCTCTAAGTCTCTTGATTTATAAATATTGGCAACACATTCAAAACTTTTTAGAAATTCAGGGGCTCCAGCAAAAATGTCTGTCAACTGGACTTTGTAAGAGGCCCACCAACTTGTTAACTTTCTAATCTATCTTCCTGATAGCCTAAATACATCCAAACAAGAACTTTGATTACAATAATGCTGTGTTTATTTATCTACTTATTTATTCTACCAATGCCAATTTTACAGAAATTCAAAAAAATATTTTAATAATGATAGTTTATTATCATAGCGGGTTAGATGCATTGAAGGGGTGAAAATTTGTTATTTTGGGGCAATAGCTCATTGATGGAAGATCATTCATGATGATACCTGGGTGATTTAATGAATGGATCATTTGATGAGTAGCTCAGTGAGAACAAGAAAGTTTTCAATGCCCTGTGATATTCCTTTTTCTTTACCAAATTTTTCACTTCCATCTGGTTTTTCACTTATTCAGAGAAGTCGTGGAAAGGTGGAACTTCTTGGACTGCCTTGGTGAAGAATGTGTAGAGAGACTCAATTAGAGAGAAAAATTGGCTTTAAGTGGTCCTTTCCCTATATAATTAAATTAGGAGAAGGCATAGAAGTAAGACTAATGTTAATAAGAAGGTCTGGAAATGAACCTTTCTGTTAGAGTCAAAAATATAATTCTCATATGTAACTTTAATATGGGCAAGTGTGCACCTATTAAGCTCTGAAACATTTATGATCCCTTCTATAAATGGGTAAATTTTGCATCATTCTTGCCTTCATAAGTTAAAATGTATAATAACAATCTACAAATAAGTAAGCAATGAGTTAATACTTAATAAGTTATTAACTTTTCCAAGCACATATTTTATAATTATATTTATCTTTATTAAGAATTGCATATAAAGATATCTATTTAAGATGAGTTAATGAAATAATGTATTATAAAAACAGGAGGAGGTACAGAAGGTGGTCAATCAGTAAATTTTTATCTTAATGTCATAGTTTGCAAATTTCATGAATTTAACTTAGGACTTCTTTCCTAATGACTTTTTTTGGAGGAGTAATTTCTCTAAAAAGTGACTGTCTCTTTATGAAAACTAACATACAGTAGTATGCCCTATATAGCACAGAGATGCATACTTTTGTGGAGGTCAAGAATGAATAAGAAATTAATAGAAAATCAAGACACAGAGATTACAACCTTTGTAATCACTCATAAAATCATCCTTACTGAATGTTTTTTTTTTAATTTTATTTATTTATTTGACAGAGAGAGAGAGACACAGTGAGAGAGAGAACACAAGCAGGGGGAGTGGGAGAGGGAGAAGCAGGCTTCCCGCTGAGCAGGGAGTCCAATGTTGAGCTCCATCCCAGGACCCTGGGATCATGACCTGAGCCGAAGACAGACACTTAATGACTGAGCCACCCAGGCGCCCCTGAATGCTTTTTATATACTTACATATATGTTCAAATCTACAAATCATATTTCAAAGCAATGACACTAGGTTGGAAATTCTCAAAAGCATTAGTGGAATTAGATTCGTGTTTGGTTATAGCACTCCTGATTTTCACGTATACCTGCAGCCTTGCCTTTGCATTCCTTACAGACGTGTGTTTTATGTAGAAAAAACACAGATTTGTAATTCAGGGTTTATTAATATTCACTCTGCTCATCCTACCTGAGTTGTTTCATGCAAACTCTTATTAGCCAAGGTTTTAACCTTTTTTCTCCTATTCTCCTGTGGCTTCACTGATATATCCAAAGACTCATATGAAGTGGTTTTTTGGCTTTTATCTTTATATCCTTTAGTGTTACTGTCAATTTTTTATTTTGATTAAGATTTTGTGGAACAACCTCTCATGGCATCTCTGATACTTACCCCAAATATGATCTGGGTTAGGATTCTGGGTAACAGCAAGATTAATTTCTGTCTCTCATTTTTTTCTCCCATATTGTGAATATTGCTCCCACCAGGTAGTGGAATGTTTGTTTCTGATCTGACATAGGAGCTGGGGTTCTGGAGGAACGATAGAATGACTATAACAATAGTAGTAGTTAACACTTATTGAAGATTTACTCTGTTCTAGGCACTATGCTGAGAGTTTCACATTGGAGTCTCATTTTGTCCTTATGTCTTTTGCAGTAGGTGTTACTGTTTCCCCTTTACCTTTGGGGAAAGTGAGACTCACGAAGTTTAAGCAACGTAACTGAGGTTATACATCTGGCAAGTAGCAAAACCAGGAATAAACTCAGAAAGCCTGATGGTAGAGCCAGCTTCTTAACTGCCATGCTATATTGCCTATACTGGTAGAGAGGGACTTAAAAAGACAATATAGTCTAAGCAAAAAAAACCTTGCAAGACAGCTTTTCCACAATCCGTAACTTGTTCTTCGACTTTAGTAAACCAACTTTTTGTTTTATGAGCGTTAGTAACTCACTCTAGTAGTATTGTGTGTCCTCACAGAAAGCGTTGACAGCTATTTATGTAATCGGCAGGACTCGTCTCAGGTAAACCTTATGAAAAGCCAAATCACCACCACACGAAGAAGCCCACCTGTCCTAGATTCTGTCCCACCCTTCCAGCTTTCGTCTAAGTGGAAGTTCTATGCTGTTTGTGAAATAGTTCCCTCTCCTTGGAATTTTTCTTCCCTGTCACTCCTAAACCCTTCTGTATGGTTTCTGAGAAGGCTAGCATATGACCTTATGATGGATAGAAGCCACATTTATCAACTTTTATTTTACTTATTCACAGATATTTTTGAGCGTCTCCTAAATGGCAGGCGCTAGTGTAGGCACGAGGACACGGCCCTCACAAAAGGGAAAGATGAGCCGATTCTATGTTGTATGAAGTGCTCAGTAGGGGGTGGTGGCGGCTACACTTGACTGCAGTGTCAGGAAAGGCCTCTCTGAACATCAAGGCCAGGCACAGGAGTATCGGGAAGAGTGTTCCAGAAGGAGGGAACAGTTACCGCCAGGGGCCCTAAGCCGGCAAGCATGGCCGGAGTGTAATGAGCAGGGCAGGAGTGGCGTGCAGTGGAATCAGAGTAGTGGCTGGGCCCGCATGCCGTAGAGCTTTGGGAACTTGGCCAGCATGCTGTTTGTAAGTCCAGGCCTTATCTCCATATATGTAAACTTGTTTTGTAAGGCATCTTCACTTTTTTTTTTTTTTTTAAATCACTGTATGTGCAGGAGTTGGTTGTAAAGACTTTGATTGTAGCAGAGCCTCATGTCCTGCATGCGTATCGAATGTGCAGACCTGGTCAACCTCCAGGAAGTGAAAGTGTCTGTTTCGAAGTCCTGGGATTTGATATCTTGTTGGACAGAAAACTAAAGCCATGGCTTCTGGAGGTAAGGCATTTCTTTTAAGAAGAAAGAGAAGTTACTACTGTTCTTGTGCATGAAAACAAATGTTTTTTAAAGTGTACTTGGCACAGTTGGCTCATTAACTGAGCAGAAAGAGGCCTGAATGGAGCATGTGGGAGGAAGAGAACAAAAAATTCAGAGAATAGAACAGTTCCAGGAATGGACCAATATATGTTTGATATTACTTTCCCCAAACTAATGTCGGGTGACTTTCTAGGCCAGGAATTTCAAATATATGCATGCATCTGCTTTTATTGATGTGTTATCTACTTCCTCCACTATTTTCCCAGCCTCACGGCCTCTACCACTTCATGACTTCTGGATGTTGTCTTTCCTCTGTGTGGGTGCCTGGGCTTCAGGACCACAGCCTCCTTGTCTTCACTGGGTTCCCATTCAGACTCTCCAAGGAGAGGCTCCGATTGGTTCACTAATCACTAATCAGTATTCAGGACCTCATACCCCAGCTGGCATGGATTCTCCCTGAAGGCCATATAATACGCCTGGGGCTCCCCTCATGTCCAGCCTGTTAACTGTGTGCCTTTGGGTGTGCTGCCAGTCCCTGGTATGGTCAGAGTCATCATTATTTTTCTGTCATTATAAAAGATCACTTAATATTAGGAAAAGATGAAATGATATAAGGGAAAAATAGAAATAGTCTCTGTTTAAGATTTTTGTACCTTTCCTTCCAGTCATGTTTGTTTTACATCCAGAAGAAAACTTAGATGTCATGTGGTCCTATACTACCCCATTCAGCAATTCCCTCTCAGACCCCTGATCTGGAGTCATAGAGCGCATGGGCACAGAACACTGTGTTTAGGAAACTTTATCAGGAAAATAGCACATACCTAAACACCATTGTTTACTAGATTAGTTACATTTTGGAACATATTGCTATAGAAGGTACAATCAACAAGTACCTTTCATTTTAAGTTGATCGTCTCTTTTTTTGTTAATGATTTTGAAGTTGGAAGTTCCATCTGTAACTTGAAAAAGCAAATTGAATGAGGATAGATAATCAAGACATTCAAAGTATATTTTCAGGAAAGAATACTTTTCCAATTTGAGGGCTAATGGTGTGTGTGTGTGTGTGTGTGTGTGTGTGTGTGTGTGTTCATTCTCCTATGTGCCAGGAATGTATATTATATTTCCAATCAAATATAGATGTCAGATGTTCAAATTTTGCTCTTGCCTGGGTCCTAGAAATAAGATAAATGTGAGGAATTTTGCTTATCTTTTTGCTTCCTTCATTACATGTATATGAAAGCATTTGACTCTGCATCTTACTAGGGCCTGACATTTTCTTCCTTAGGTTTCCTACTTTGTCTGCAATTATCCTTTCCTATTCTTAACTGCATTTTTTTTCCTACTCCTGCTGCTTGTCTTTTATCTTTGATGGGGTTGGGAAGAAGTGAAGGCACATGCCTGAGGTGGAACTGAAAGTAGAGCAGGGAATAAGGACTATAGATAATTACCTGTTTTTAAGAGCATTTGTCTAATGAGCTTTGTATGATCTTGGTAAATCAGAATTGACTGGTTGAATTCTGTATTTTTTTAAAGGCTCAAAACACCATTGTTTGCATTAATGTTTCTTCATACTTTATTCTCTTCTTCATCATGTCCAGATCAATAACCATTAAAAACCTCGACAATAATCAACAGCTAAATAACATTATTTGCATTAACATATTTTCATTTTCGATTCATTTCTTCATCATTTCCAGATCAGTCAGAACCATTCTAAAAACTTTAGAGTAACCAACAGCTATGGGTAATGAACATTTATTATATTAAAACAATTAAAAGAATCTTATTTAGATCTTGCTTCTTTGTGTTTTCTCCCAGCTGCAATTGTAGTGGTTCTAACATATGTTGGTTAAAAACCTTTTGGCACCATCAAGTGGAATAAGATAGAAGGTGCATCTGAGAATATGATAACTTTTAGTTAACTGGAATAATTGCAGGTACTGATTCATAGTGGCAAAATTGCAGAAATTTTCAAGCACAGAAACCTTTTTCGTGAAAAATATGGAAATTGGGTAGGATATGAATTTGCTGCTAATAATTTAATTACCCTTGGATTAATTTCAACAAGTCATTGTGTCAGGGGATGGAGATCCAAGAAGACAGAATACTTACCGTGGTTGAGTGCGGACTCAGATATGTGTCTTATGGTAATAGTTAAAAGTATAAGTAGGGAACGGGGTTACCAGCACAAGCAATAGAGTGATTATCTCTCTGTGTACATGTGTGTATTTGACAGTTAAAAAAATCTTTGCAGAGGAGGGAACACCTGAGCAGAGTGTTTAAGCCTGTGGAAGGTGTGGTGGGGACTGGGGGTTTGGAAAGATGGGGTTTAGGTGGGGAGAAGTTACTGGGCCAAGGGAACAGCACTAATTTGGGAGCCTAGAATCTATTATGGATACTTTGATATGTGCATGAAATGATTGTGCTTGTTTTGATAGTAAAATTATGATTTGGTTGGTTAATAAATGGTATTTATTATTTTAATTTGCTTTCTAGTAGTTTTCATTTTTGCATGCATTTACAAGCTACTGAACTTTAAGACTCTAACATTTGCTGAGCTTTGTTTGTTCTAGAATTGGGGTAGGAAATGAGAACCAAAGAAGCCATCAACATCACAGAGTATATATTTTTTTAAAGAGTTATTTATTTATTTCTGAGAGAGAGGCAGTGGGGAGGGGCAAAGGAGGAAGGGAAGAGAGAGTACAACCTGAGCCAAAGCCAAGAGTTGAACACTTAACCAATTGTGCCACCCAGGTGCCCCAGAGTAGAATTTTGACTGAATGAACCTGAATTTTCAGAGTCTCTTCTGTCTTTATCATAAAACTTTTGAAAAATCCGAAATGTGAATTGAAAAAAAATTTTTTCTACCTTTTCACTTATTAGTTTATCTTGTGTGGGTACATTTCTCCATAGACCCAATTTCTTTTTTATGGTAGTAGAGGGAATACTCTGACATAGGTAAGAGAGGGTCTGAGGTTACTTCCATCCTAGAGGATGGATATGTCTGGTAGAATTCCAGATGGCAATTTTGGAATGGAACACCTAAGGAACTCTATAAAGATAGATAACATTTCAGTGAACCACTTAGTCATTGGTTCTAAATGTCTGATTCATTTTATAATCCTGTCCCATGTAGCAGAACAATTGTTAATTGTATTACAAATTGCAGAGATTTGAATCAGTATGGAGTGGTTAAAATTTTTTCATATAAAATATATTACTGTACCCTTTCTTCGCACTTGTAAGAGGACATACTTAGAGTTTTGAAGTAGCAGATTAATAAACTCCCTTTCTTCAAATTTGCCCGGAATAAATGGATGTTCTTGCAGTTACCAAATTGTTCCCTTCTCCTTGAGACCACATCACATAGGCAGAAATATGTCTATCACCTTCTAAATCAGAGATCAGCAAAAGCATAATATACTTTGGCATATCTCTATAAATGGAGTACCATGCATCAAAATGATGACATGAAAGATTTTCATGATATATCGTTAAAAGAAAAACTTGGATTATAGAATAATATTGTTAGTATAGGTATGTATTTGGAAGACAAAATAAATATTATAAATATGTATGCATAGCAAATATCATTTATCAAATGATTAGCAATACACCATTTATCAAATGGATAACAGTATACTGGGTAATGGGAATACCGGTGATCTTTTTGTTGTCTGTTTAGCTTCTATGTACATACTTCTACTTATTTATATTTCTTAAAGCTGCCAGGTGTGAAATGCATACTGTCAGTTATTTTGTCTCTTGTGGAACGGGATTGTATAAGACAACCCTCTTCTATGACAGTGGCATCATATTTTTTTGAGATAAGCTGTGAGGTTAGGTGGTGGTCATGAAGCTAAGCTGTAGTTTTGAACTCATCAGTGTTCTAGCCAACTGAATTAATTAACTTTCTTAAACACTTGCTGTTCCAGTTACATTTTCATGGCAACAAAGACAAAAACAAAAACTCCAGCTCTTGAGGTGGTCGTAGATTGTGTAATGGATTTCAGGGCATATACAGTTACTGTTACTTCTTATTTTTCCTCTTAATGAAATCCTGAAAATGATGTTGGAAAGAAGAATACCCACAAATGGCTCCTTTATTCCTCTGAGTCCTAATGCAGTTAGAGAAGCTCATAGAGGTTAGTCTGCAGCTACCTTTAACGGTATCTTCTGAGTTATATAGTCAGTGTCTTTGGAAATGAAAATTGATGATTTATTGTTTGATCCAGGTAGAAAGAAAATAATTTATTTTTTAGGCAGCAATAGATGAATCCATCCAGAAGATCTGAAGCAGTGAAAAGAGAGTATAGTTTCTGTATGCCAAATAAATGCATTTAATTATTACTGTATTGGTAACATGCATATTATTTTTGTTACATCATTCTTGTTATGGTTAATACTGGTCTTCTAACCTTTTTGTCAGGATGAGTCACTTTTAACTTCCCTAAACTTAAAACCTAGAGTGCGCAGGGTGTTGGGTTAGAGAGGGTGCAGAGGAGGGAGAGGGCACAAAGGCTTACCAGAGATCCTGAGCTAAGGCAGCAGGGAGAAGGGGGCAGTGACAGCAGTCAGTTCCTTGCAACTCCTTGACTTAGGTGGTGGGGAAGGGAGGTGTGGCAGTGGTAACTGGGCCATCTATCATGTAGAGCTTTGAGATTTATTTTAGAGTTTCTCTCTTGGTTGGGGATCTTGCATTAGTTTAACAAATATGTATTGAGTGTTTATTAACCTACCGATATTTAGCTATTCTCATTGTTTTCTTTGTAAATTTCAGATTAATCGTGCTCCAAGCTTTGGAACTGATCAGAAAATAGACTATGATGTAAAAAGGGGAGTGCTGCTAAATGCACTAAAGCTACTAAACATCAGGTAAAGTATTTCCTCCCTCATTTAGAAGGTTTTCACCACCTTTGGCATAGAACAATCACTTGTACATGGAATTGGCTTATAATTTTTTCATATTTTATATTTTGAATTTCTTGATGCCATTCTTCAAATTCTTTTAGTGTTTTCTTTTTAAATATCTTTTCCTCTCTACAAACTGCTTTTCCTTCTCTCCATATCATGCTCTGAATCTACAGTAAATAGTTAAGAGTGTTGGTATAATTATTCAATATAGAGTGTAAGGTTGAATTGGAGAATACTTGAGGAAAATCTTTAGATTATCTTCCTCACCTTACAAGAAGAAACTAAAGCAGATGTTCATTCAGGAAGTTAAAAAAAGCAACAACCCTCAAATACATGGATTTCCTACCTTTCTGTTCAGAGGTCTTCCCAGTGTCATGCTGCCTGGGTAAACAGAAAAAAGAGGTAGTTGTTAAGGCAGGGTTAACAGGGCAGGGTAGTTGTTAAGGCAGAGTTAAAAAAGGAATTTTTTTTTTTTTTTTAAGGCTGGATAATATTCCATTGTATGTATATACCACATTTTCTTTATCATTCATCTGTTGATGAACATTTAGTTTTCTTCTATGGCTTGGCTATTGTGAATAATGCTGTAATGAGCATGGGAGTGCAGATATATCTTTGCATCCTGATTTCAACTCCTTTGAATATATACTCGGAAAGGGGATTGCTGCATCAACAGAATATTATTAGGCTGGTTACAGTGTACGTGATCATGGATCTCAAATATTTGAAATGCTGTTTTGTAGGGAAGCTTTTGGCTCATTATGAAAGAAATTTGTTAGAAGTTTAATTGAACTGCTTAATGAAGTAGTGAGTCATCTACCATTGTTAAATGTTCAAACAGTGTTTAGGGTGTTGGATTAAAGGACCTCTGAGGTCATTTAAGCCCAGGGATTTTATGATTTCAATTGATTCTAATCATCATTTAAAGAACTCTAAAAGAGTTGGAGGATGCTTCCAAGCAATTTATTTATTTTAAATGGTTCCACGCATTTAGCAGTTGCCTGCTTGAGAAAGTAGCTTTATATGGAAAGCATTATTAAAAAAAGAGATTGATACATGAATTTTTTTTCCTATTTTTTTGATAGATAAATTTGTTAAGAAATTTTCATATGGCCCCTTCTTTTGCTTGATCAAAGAACGATTTGCCTCAATTTAACTGACATTTCAATTGTCCTAAAAGAAATGAATAGAAGAGATATAGAAAGTGAAATTTTTGTTTATTTAGCTTACACAAGTGCATAAGATATTTTAGATTATTCAAACAGTATACCTATACATTTTTTTTTGCATTTACTGTTATTATGTAAATAGGCCTTATGTTTTTTCATGTCTTTGCCAACCAATTCAGGATATAATCTGTGGGTGTTTTTGTCTTCTTAAAAGTTCAAATAGTGAGAAATTTCTAGTCTTAAAAATAAAGGAAAGTTGGAATTCATTTTCCTTATTTTTCTTAGTGTTGTTCCAGTAAGAGAATTTAATACAATTCTTAACATTTTAAACTTATGCTAATGAAGTTTACATTATAGATGTGGCTTTTCTCTCCATCAAGATGGAGTGCTCCATGGGCATATATGTGTTAGACTTGTCTTTCAAGTCTGCACAATTATTGATACAATGTTTTACTTATAGTATGGCTCCATATGTACCCCAAAGTTCATTTTGTAAGCATATACTTTTAATCTCAAGAAAATCCAAAAGAGTGTAGATTGCTCAGAGTATTCCATCACAACCCCTGGGAATAAGGAACCTCCAGTTTACTATATGGAGACGCATATTTGATGGATGATTAGATGAATTTGATGTATGTGAATATATATATACATATATATATAAAACATTGATTCATATCCCCACTGTGTCTCCTCTTCTGCTAATTCTCCTCACGGGGATAAGATCAGGGCTTATTTGAATTCCTGTGTTTTATATTTCAGGACCAGTGATAAAAGGAGAAACTTGGCCAAACAAAAAGCTGAAGCTCAAAGGAGGCTTTATGGTCAAAATTCAATAAAAAGGCTCTTACCAGGTTCCTCAGACTGGGAACAGCAGAGACATCAGTTAGAGAGGCGGAAAGAAGAGTTGGTATGAAAATTTTAACAATATACCTACAATTTGAATTACATAATTCATTGGTCAGATTTTATTTGTAAAATTTCTTCATTTCTAGAAAGAGAGACTTGCTCAGTTACGAAAGCAGATTTTAAAAGAAGAACATGAAAATCGGCATATGGGGAATTATAGGTAACTGTGCTTCCATTTTCTTATAGATTGAAGAAGTGTCAAAACAACTATTCTACATTTTTAACCTTTTAGACTTATTTTGAGCACTGTTTATTTCATTCCTGCTAGCCAGCTTCATGGGTGGTTGTATGAGATCTTTTAAATCTGAAACTATTCCTGTGACCTTATTTACTTTTAATGTAGTATTTTGAGAAAGTCAGGCTTTAGGTCTCCTAGTTTTCTTTCTGTCAGTTCAGAGTGGTTGCTCTACTTTGTTTAAACTCAGATATATCAGGAACCAGGCAGATAATGAAAATGTTTGAAGGAGGCAGATATGAGGCAATACAGAGGGGTGTGGACTGTGTTGAACTGGAACCCCTCCACAGAATCCTTTGACAGGATAAAAGAGGACACCCCCTCTAAATTCCTTGTGTTCTTGGAAAGACTGCTCCTCTTCCTAAGCTTGACGTTAACTTAACAGAATTAGGAGGATTGAGGGCCACAGAGCTTCTCACACCCCTGGTAAAACATTCTTTTCTGCCTTAACATCATCAACAGCAACTCTGAGAACACATTCTTCTCATTCTACCTCTGCCCTCTTCTCTTCTTTGGAGAGGCATATTCCACCACCCCAAAAGAGAATATCAAGATGAACGCCTGTATTCTTGTATATGTCAGTAACCACACCATAATTGCACACTTCCAGCTTATCCCTCATCACCTGCTCTCTCCCATGAAGATATTTCTTCAATATGCCCGATTGCAATTCTCCAACCGCCGCTCCACAACCAAACCCTTATACTATGATTTATGGAGCCTCATTGTTTAATGACCATTCTCTAGATAAACTTTAATTTGTGTAGGTAACTGATGAAAATTTGCGTGAATTTCTTATAACTGCATTCATCTTTATTTCTAGCACCTAGTAAAGTAACTGGCCAGTTACTTTAGGACCATACTCCTTGAGTAGACCATACTTCTTGAGTAGATGGTCAAGGAGTATCTATGTAATTGAACTTAACTCTTGCACTGCAATAGCTTCTTTTAAACTAGTTGGTTTATCTGATTTATTGTAGACGAATTTATCCTCCTGAAGATAAAACTCTGCTTGAAAAGTACGAAAATTTGTTGGCTGTTGCCTTTCAGACCTTCCTTTCAGGGAGAGCAGCTTCATTCCAGCGAGAGCTGAATAATCCTTTGAAAAGGATGAAGGTAAAGGAATGAATGTTTATGAAGAGAAAAATGAATGAAGCCAAATGATATGTCTTTAAAAACAACCCACCTTAGTCCCACATACAAAAACATTTGTTTTAAGATGCACTTTCCTTCTATTTTAACAGTTGGTAGCATTTCATAGCCAACCAAGTGATTTCATAAATAAGATGTCTAACAGGACAAATTATACTGTAGAGAATGTTGTTATTATGTTGTAATATCAATCTATCATCATAACATGTCTTTTTACAGAGGTGTGTATATGTAACTCGAATAAAAAAAAATCCATTGAATTAACCTAGTGTTTTGCAATGCTCTCATAATTTGGATTGTAACTAATATTATACAGTATTTTTCCCCTGATATCCTGCATAGACCTGTCATATGAGAAATAATTAAAACACACACACACACACATACACACACAGTAAGCTCTTTATCGAAATGTCTACCAGTTGTCTTTTGTAGCATAATAAACCATTTACTTGCTCATATTCTGTAATCTTGGCTGAGCTCAGCTGAGTAGTTCTTCAGCTTGGCCTGCTTGGAGTGAATCATAGTTGCATTTATCTGGAAGCTCAACTGGGGCTGGAAATCCAGGAAGTCTTCACTCACATGTCTGGTGTCTCAGTTAAGATAGCTGGAACGTCTGGGGAGCTGGCTCAATGTCTCTTTCTCTTTACATGATTTTTTTTTAAAGATTTTATTTATTTATTTGAGAGAAAGAATGAGATAGAGAGCATGAGAAGGGGGAGGGTCAGAGGGAGAAGCAGACTCCCCTGCTGAGCAGGGAGCCCGATGTGGGACTTGATCCCGGGACTCCAGGATCATGACCTGAGCCGAAGGCAGTCGTCCAACCAACTGAGCCACCCAGGTGCCCTCTTTACATGATTTCTTAGCAAGGTAGCCAGATCTCATAACATGGTAGCTTGGAGTTTCAAAAGGAAGCATTGCAAGAGGACAAACCCAGTGTGCAAGTGCTAATCAAGCCTGTGCTTGCACTGTGCTTCCTAAAGTCCCATTGGACAAGTAAGTTTATGTGGACCCATTAAATTGTACTTTATATTACTGGACATTTCACTACAGTGATAACCTCTCATTTCTTGTATACACTGTTATATTGAGTGATTCAAAAATGATAAATTTCATTATAGATAGATTTTGCTATGGTCTCTTTTCACTTAAATTCTGCAACAAGATATAGAGCCACTTTTGAACTGGCTACACCTAAGAGACAGAAGCAGAAGGAATAATGTATACCTCAATGTTCTTTTCCCCCAAAAGTCTTTCTTTTGACATACACAAAGGTTTCCACCAGTAGAGTTATATTCTGTGGACCTTTCGTTTTTCTTGATCAAGACAGTAGGAGACCTTTGTTCATTTTCCATCACCTGTTCTGTACTGTTATTTGTCTCTCCAGTGGATACCGCATCAGTTTCATCTTCTCCCCTAACTGTACTTTTTCTGCTAGAAAACCTAGGCATTTTGGAGCCAGATAGACCTACATTCAAATTCCAGGTCCCCCATGTGTTAATTAAGTAACCTTAGACTAAACTATTTGATCAACAGTTTGCTCATTACTAATACAATAGTATTAAAACTATACTTGACAAGTTGGTGGTTAAAATAAAATTGAGGGGCGCCTGGGTGGCTCAGTCGTTAAACGTCTGCCTTTGGCTCAGGTCACGATCCCAGGGTCCTGGGATCCAGCCCTGCATTGGTCTCCCTGCTCCATGGGGAGCCTGCTTCTCCCTCTCCCACTCCCCCTGCTTGTGTTCCCTCTCTCGCTGTGTCTCCCTCTGTCAAATAAACAAATAAAATCTTAAAAAAAATAAAAATAAAATTGAGGTTAATTAAAATAGTCTACTTAAAGTACTTGTCACATAATAGGCTTCGAATCTTAATTCCCTTCTTCCTTATCGTCTTCAAAATCTAGTTTAAATGTCACAACTTTGCCTGCCCTGGTCCATTGGTTTGTGAGCCTCTTCTTATACAAATAACACACTATCTTCAGTACTGTTGTTTTTGGCCTTTTTAGGTCCTTTATACTTCGATACACATTTTAGAATTGACTTGATTTTAAATTTTGATTAATTTTTGTATTACAAAGTAGCTGCTGGATTTTAATTGGGACTGTGAGGAATCTATATTAACAGTAATATTAACAGTACTGAGGAATTAACAGTTCTGAGTTTTCTGATCCATAAATATGGCATATCTCTCCATCTACTTGAGTCTTTAATTACTCTGCTGTGTTTATAGCTTTTGGTGTATAGTTTTTGCACATCTGTAATTAAATTTATTGCTAAGTATTGGATGTTTTTGCTACTATTGCCAGTAATATAGTTTTTAAAATTTTTCATTTTTAAATTTGTTTTCAGGATGTAAACATCTGATTTTTTTGTATATTGCCCTTGTATCTAGCAATTTTTACATATTATATTTTTATTAACTACCATTCTAAATTAATTTCTGGCTTTTATTTGGTTATTTAGAAGTTTTTTGCTTAATTTCCATACATTAAAACTTTCTTGCTTTATTTTTGTTAAAAATTTCTAGTTTAGAAAACATTCTGATTTTAATATTGTAAAATGAATTGATGCTTGCTTTAACTCAATAGAGTACTTATTTTGTGAATGTTCCAAGTGTTTGTGAAAATAATGTGCTACTACTACAGGTGTTGGTTATAGAGTTTTATACATGTCATAAGTAAATTTGGCTATTAGTGTTGTTCAAATATTCTATATCCTTTCTGATTTTTTTGGCCAACTAGTTCTAGCAATTACTGAGAGAGACTGTTAAAAACTTCCAACTGTGATTGTGGATTTAGTTCTGTCGATTTTTGTTTCATATACTTTGAAGTTATGAAGGTGTCTTTCTAATGAATTCATCCTTTCTATTTTATCATTATGAAATATTTACCTTTCCCTTCGATAATATCCCGTGTCATAAGTTTACTTTTTGTGACTAATGTAGCCAACTAGTTTCTTTCTTATGGCTACTGTTTCAATGACATATCTTGACATTTATCAACTCATCTGTGTTCTTATATTTAAAATATCTCTGGTAAATACCATTGTAGTTGGGTGATATTTGTTTTAAAATTCAGTCTGACACTATCTGTCTCTTAATCATTTCACACATTTACTGGTATAGGTGGGTTTATGTCTTCCCTTTTGCTCTTTGTTCTCTATTCCATTTGTTCATTATTTTTTCATTGCTCCCTTTATTATTTTGGAAAAACAAATTATTTTTTGTTATACTATTTTATCTTTTTTGGCTTTTAGTTATATTGCAGCATAATATTTTTTAAAAGAAATTACAATATACATCCTTAAATGATAATAACCTTGAATTAAGGATCCTTGAATTAAGGATCATAAGTTTAGTTTCATTTAGTGCCTCCCTCTGACTTTGTGTTGTTAACATATATTTTACTTTTACTTATGTTAAAAACCTCAGAATACATTGTTAGTATTGTCTAAGCAATCAGTGTTCTTTAATAGTTTTCTAACTAACCTTTCCTATTTACTCACATATATACCCTTTCTTGTGTTCTTCATTTTGTCATACAGATTTATGCTTCTAACAAGGGTTATCTTTCTTCAGTTTGAAGAAACTTTCTTTAGTACTTCATATTCCTTGTAGCATAAATGTGTTGATTAATTTTCAGTCTCTCTTGTTTTTTGGTCAGAAATTCTCTTTCATTTTGTCTTTTTTAAGTGGAGTTTAACTGGGTATAGAATTCTATCTTGGCAGGCTTTTTTTTTTTTTTCCTTTCAGCACTTTTGTCGATATCACTTATTTTTCTTCTGGTTCTTATTGTTCCTATTCAGAATTCAACCATCATTATTTTTGTTTTCCTTCTAAATGTAATATGTCTTTTTCCCTGGCTGCTTTTTTTCCCCCCAGCATTTTGACTTTGATGTGTTTATGTGTGACTTTCTTTGTATTAATCCTGCTTGTAATTTTCTCAGTTTCTTGAAGCTCTGGCTTAATTTAGTATTTAATTGGTTTTGGAAAATTCTCCTCCATTATTTCTTCAGATATTGCTGCTGCATTATTTTGGTTTTGTCTCTTTATGGGACTCTAACTACACATATATTAGGTCATTGGACAGCATCCTGTGTTTCCTTGATACTCTGTTCTATTTTTCCTTTCTTTATCCTTTCTTTGTGCTTCAGTTTGGATAATTTCCACTGACATATCTTTGCTCTGCCCAGTCTGTCATAATATCTTCTAAATTTTTTATTATATTTTTCAACTCAAGAATGTCCATTTTTTTTAAGACTTTATTTATTTATTTGACAGAGAGAGACAGCAAGAGAGGGAACACAAGCAGGGGGAGTGGGAGAGGGAGAAGCAGACTTCCTGCTGAGCAAGGAGCCCGATGCAGGGCTCGATCCCAGGACCCTGGGATCATGACCTCAGCCGAAAGCAGACACCTAACCGACTGAGCTACCCAGGTGCCCCTATCCATTTGGTTTTTTAAAATCTCATTTCTCTTTTGAAATTCTGCATCTTTCATTCCTTTTTTTCATTTTTCATCAATTTCCTTTAATACGTATGTAGTAGTTATTTTAAAATCCTTGTTTGTTAATTTTAACATCTAGATCATAAGGACCTGCTCTTTAAAATGTTTTTTTCCTTTTTATCATGGGTCACATTTTCTTGTTATTTTGGATATCCTACAATTTTTATTTGACAGTTTCTATAAAAGAATTATTAAAATTGAACTGATATTATTTTCTCCAAAAAAAGGTATATCTTTCTTCTTTCAGGGTGCTAAGGTAAGTGGCTAATCACTTTCAGCCAAAGAAAAGTTGAACAAAAGCAAAAATCAAGAAGTGGAACTACATCAAACTTAAAAGCTTCTGCACAGCAAAAGAAATAATCAACAACATGAAAAGGCAACCTGCAGAACAGGAGAACATTTTTGCAAACCATATATATGATAAGGGGTTAATATCCAAAATATTTAAAGAACTCATGCAACTGTATACCAACGATAACAAAAAAGAATCTAAAAAATGGGCAGAGGAGCTAAACGGACATTTTTTTCCAAAGAAGACATCCAAATGTCCAACTGGTACATGGGAAAATGCTCAGCATCACTAATCGTCAGGGAAATACAAATCAAAACCACAATGAAGTGCCATCTCACACCTGTTAGAGTGGCTATCATCAAGAAGACAAGAGATAGCAAGTGTTGGTGAGGATGTGGAGAAAAGGGAACCCTTGTATACTGTTGGTGGGAATATAAGTTGACTCAGCCACTATAGAAAGCAATATGGAGGTTTCTCAAAAAGTTAAAAATAGATCTAACATATGATCCAGCAATTCCACTTCTGGGTTATACCCAAAGGAAATGAAAACAGGATATCAAAGCGATAAATTCACTCCCATGTTTATTGCAGCATTATTCACAGTAGCCAAGATTTGGAAACAATGTAAGTGCCTGTCAATGGATGAATGGATAAAGATGATGTGGTATATATGTACAATGGAGTATTTTCAGCCATGAGGAAGAAGGAAGTCCTGCCATTGTGACAACATTGATGGACTTTGAGAACATTAGGCTAATTGAGATAAGTCAGACAGAAAAAGACAAATACTATAGGATTTCACTTTTATGTGGAATCCAGAAAAGCCAAACTCATAAAAATAGTGAAATGGTGGTTACCAGGGTTCAGGTGTGGGGGGATAGGAGATTGTTTAAGGATACATTCTTGCAACTAGTAGTAAATAAGTCTTAGAGATAAAATGTACAGTATAGTGTATATAGACAACATTGCCTTCTAATCACCAAACTTGCTAAGAGAACAGATATTTATTATTCCAGTCACAGAAATGATAATTATGCGATGTATTGGAGAAGCTAACTATTACTACACTGACAATCATATTAAATATATAAATGTGTCTTTGCACAATGTTATATGTCAAATTTATTTCTATTAAAAAAGAAGAAAGAAAAAAAGAAAGAAAAAAAAGAAAAAGAAAGAAAGAAAGAAAAAAGAAAAAGAAAGAAAGAAAAAAAAAGAAAGAGAAAAAGAAAGAAAGAAAAAAAAAAAAAGAAAGAAAAGTTGAACTGGGTCCAGTCTGGGCTGTGGTAGTTTTAGTGTACTGTCTTGTTTCAAGTGTCCGAAGGATGAAATTTATTCAGTGTTTATTACAGACCTCATTTTCTATTGGTATCTAAAAACTGTAAGACTACAGAGGAGTATTACTGGCTTTCACATTCCTCTCTGTCTTCCTACTCCTCTACATGCTCACTAAAATTGCTGTCAAAGAGACCCAGCAGGTGAAGAGAACAAGCTCTGTGGGGCGGTTCTAGATGTTACACTAGCCTACATGACCATGGAAAACTCTATTAGATTCTCTTTATCCCAGCCTATTATAGACGTGGTTTCTGCCCATCTGTGTGCAGACTTGACAAATGATTCCAAAGTAGAAAATGGCTACTCATATCTGCTTACCTAGAACTTCTCCCCCTCTGGTATTTAGTTTATTTTACATTACTTTTTATCTACAGTTTTCTGATGTCTTAAAAAAATGATTATTTAGTTTATCTTTTTCTAGCTCCTATAATGAAAGTATTATCTATTATGATCTTTCTCCTCAGCAGAAACAGAATTCTTTGAGTTTCTTTTTAACTATCTTGTGTTGCTGTCACAGGAATTCATTGTAGGATTATTATTTAATCAAAACATTATAGCAAAAGTATTTTGGTATTTTAATAGCTAAGCTTTGTTGGATTGGGATGGAGAGTAACTTATTTTACCAATTTCCATTGCACAATAAGATTTCTAGTTTCTTCAAAAATCTTTTTATAAGAGACTGAAATATGTCATAAATATATAAATGGAGATGCGGTATTTTTATAGGTTGAATAAATAACTCAAGGAAGCTATTGATTATACCTCTTTCAGAGTAGCTATTATACTCTATTTGCTCTGGTTTGCTCAAAATCTATTTCAGTATATGTTTTTATAACTTTCCCCTTGACATCACGGTGCCTCTAGAAGAGCAAGTATTATGCCCATAGAATGAAAATCTTTCATAAAGTTCTAAAGATACTCTTGCACAATAGTTAAAATTTTGAAAGAGTTACCTTAAATTGTACCATTTACCAAATACTACCATTAGATTGTTCCAAATGAAACTATTAGGCCAATCATCAATTTTCTTCTGAAGTCATAATATTATCTTGCACTAATTAATATAGCAATGATTGATGAAATTGTGCTCTGGAAAACTAGAGTGAACTTTTGGAAATTTTAAAATGTTCAATAGGCTAATTTATTGAAGTATTGTACTCTAAGATTTTAATAGTGTACTAGAACATAAGGATACATTTGTTTATGATATTAATGCATAATAGATTTCAGCTATGTATTGTTTAAATTGCCAGATTTTAGTGAAGGTTTCTTCAAGAGATTTTTCCATAACTCTTTATTTCTCATTTGATCTGAGCAATCTTCATTAAATAGTTCCAGGACTCCTTATTGCACACTAATTTATGGAGATTAATGATCTTGGAAAAATTCTAGAGTCCATTAGTGATCACAGTTTTAATATTTTTTTTTTAAGGAAGAAGATATTTTGGATCTTCTGGAACAATGTGAAATTGACGATGAAAAATTGATGGGCAAAACTGCCAAGCCTCGAGGACCAAAGGTGCTGTTCCTGTACATTCTTTACTATCAAAGTAGATGCTACTAAGTACAGTTGATTTTACCTTTTCTTACTGTAAGAATGACTGATGCCACTTTCAAGGAACTGTATGGACTATGTGCCCAGTGCAGATGGAATTAGGAGATACACTCAGGAGAAGTTTTGTTATGTTAGTTTCTCTCATTTTTAATTTTTTTTAAAAGGTTTTATTTATTTATTTGACAGAGAGCGAGAGCTAGCACAAGTAGGCAGAGTGGCAGGCAGAGGGAGAGGGAGAAGAAGGCTCCCTGCTGAGCAGAGGCAGAGAGCCCGATCTGGGGCTCAGTCTCAGGACCCTGGGATCATGACTTGAGCCAAAGGCAGATGCTTAACTGACCGAGCCCACCCAGGCGCTCCAAGTTTTCCTCATTTTTTAATTCTTTCCCTAATGCTCGTGAAAACCCTATGAGTTAGGACTAAGAGGGACTTAAAACTAGTACCCTTATTCTATACTTAGTATTACATTTTTCTCATATTTCTAGACATACAATTATCAGAGATGTGTAGCATTATAGTTAGGCAAATCATGACTCTGGAAATCCTTATGGGGGGGCCACTTATTGTTGACCCAGTAACATTGAAATTGTGTTAGTTAAAATAGGTATGGTTTCTAGGAATAAACAGAAAGCTCTCATGCAAGCAAAAATGTGCAGGTGTTTGCTTTACCTTCACCCTCTCTTTAGTGATGATCTACATGTTCCTTTTTTTATATGTTAAAGGCTTTGGTAGTACAGTAGGAAAATGGTGAATTTGCAAAATCTTGGCTATTTAAAAAAAAAATTATCCATTCATTGCTTGATTACAGATCCCCTTCTAATCCAGCTGAACCATTGCTGCCTTTGTGAAATCTTCCCTCACTCCCCTAGTTAGACTTAGCTCTTCCTTCTTCTGCTTATTCTGCTGTGCTACAAATAACACTTTAAGAGCATTCGTGACAATTGTGTGCATGTTTGCTTTAGAATGAACTTGTAAGTACTTTGAGGGTAGGAAGCATATTGTCATCTCTAGCACCTTGCACAGTGTTTAGTACTTAGCAGGTTATCAAAAGCCATTAGTTAAATTTGTTGAATGTGTCCACAAGGACCTCATTTGCTAGTGGAAGAACAGATAGGTGAACCAAAGTCCAGGGTATATTGTGGCAAGTGTTGTAATAAAGGGAGTGGAAAGTGCTACAACAACATAGAGAAAAAAGGGATTGGTAGACTGTGGATGGCCACAAAAGGAAGTGACATTGGAATTGGGTCTTAAAAAAAAAATGACTAGTGCTCTAAATATTTAGGAGCCGGGGAAGGATATTCAGGGTAGAGGGAATACTTAAGGCAAGCACATGGAGGTGTGACATTGCATAGAGTATTGGAGAAACAAGAAAGAATTTGGTATCACTCATATGGAAGGTTCCTGGGAGTAAAATAGTACAAGATGAACCTGGCGAAAGATATGTATCTGGTGGAGATCAGAGACCTTGGATGTCAGGCACCGTTCTTCTGAAATATGTGCTTTATACTGAAGAATTGTGGACAGTGCAGTTAATGCCTCTAATATATTTTAGAGTATCTGTAAAAGTGAATAGGTTCTAAGCTTTGTGTATTAATTATTGCAATTTGGCAAACCAGTTGTGAGACAACTTAGGGGCACAATATTTATGGCAGAATGGCAAATGCAAAGGCCCTGAAACAGCTGTCTATCATACTTTGCTTCATTAAATAAGGCTTATCATCCAAATAAAAATATAAGCTCCTGGAAGGCAGAATTCACATTGTATATTTTTTTCAACCCTTCTTATTCTAGGCAAGAGTAGAAACTATCTGTATTTGTTGAAATGAAATGAATTGACTAGTTTCTGTAGGTATTAATGCTGGTAATATTTCAAAATTGTTGAAAGCTGTATAATCAGTCTGAAGTAAAAGCATTTTTATAACTTTTAACTTAATTTGCACTAATTAATATAGAAATGATTGATGAAGTTGTGCTCTGGAAAACTAGAGTGAACTTTTGGAAATTTTAAAATGTTCAATAGGCTAATTTATTGAAGTATTGTACTCTAAGATTTTAATAGTGTACTAGAACATAAGGATACATTTGTTTATGATATTAATGCATAATAGATTTCAGCTATGTATTGTTTAAATTGCCAGATTTTAGTGAAGGTTTCTTCACTTTCACACTGAGGATCTGGGGTGAGCCAAACTTCAAAGCAGCCTTTCATTTTTAGAGGGATGATATCATATGGTAAACATTAATTTCCAGTGTATTTATGGTAGAAGAATAATTGAAGATAGTGAAGACTAAATGAAGCTTGTACTAGGAGAAATAATAACTTTTCACTTATTTGAGAAACTAAGAAATATTAATTAGCTATCTAAATAATAAATACCACATAAAGTATCATCTATTAGCATTGTTCTTTTTTTTCAGCTGGGTGGTAGGGACATACTAATCTTTATGCTATTTACATATTTATTATGTATGGCCCAGTTCATAATAAAATTGGACATAAAATTAGTAGTATGGCTTGTGTCCTAACTCAATGCCAATTTACAAATTCCATTTTGTAGTTAAGGTACTGTTTGAAGTTCACACTGCTATCACTTCTTATTAATTATTGCTTGAACAGTTTGTTGGTCAAAAAGTCCCAAATGCGTATATGCCACAAAGGTTCAGCTATCTGTTTCCCTTAGTGATTCTTTATAGGATCAAATAACTCATTATGTAGTCAAGTTCTTTAAGAACCCCTAAAGCTGTTTGCCTACGTGTAAGAGGACACTACTAGCAAACCTGGTTGTGCCACTGTTTCTTTGGGGTCTGCAAGACTTCTGAAGAAACATGCCTCCTCTAGAATTCATATTCCCCAAGACTATCAAACTCTTCCATGATTGTGTACTAGTCAGTGTTTTTATGCATATCTCTTTGAACAGTGTTAGGGCTCAGTAAATATTAGACTATCAAAAGGAAAACATACTTTGAAATACAAGTTGGTACCGTAGTGCATTAAATTTCTTTTCCTGCTTTCTTTGGTTATTTTTCACCCTTTGCAAAGGCGGTGACTTTAAGAGGATCATGGTTTGGCTTACTGTGTCTTCCAGGCACTTCATGAAATGCTGTTTCTCTCTTTATCTTTCATCCTACACCGATACATGAGAAGATATACCTTATTTCTGTGAAATGCCATGGTAACCAAGGGTTTCATGGTGGTGTATGCTAGCATCAAAGCACTTTTGTTTAACAGAGAACAAGAATCTAGTGTATAGCTACAGGAGCCTTTTCCAGCAGGAGTAAGAGGCGTATGGTTTGTATAATAAATAGTCTCTTAAAATGACTACGTTATAAAAATGTCTTGTTCTTGGTTGTGCACATTCTTTCTGAAGTGAAGCTGGCCTACTTCCCTTATCTTTTATTCCCTGGGCTGGCATCCTTGGAAACACATTGATTGGGAGGTTTGGAGACAAGTAATTCTAATGGAAATATTGGAACATAACAGCAGGGCATTTTGAATCATTACAGATTTACCCTTCTACATGGCACCTAGCCTCCAAAAATTCTTGCCATGCTGACTTTTACATGATACCACTTATTTTATGTAGCATGGGCAATGAAGAGCAGTGTTCCTCCATTATGGCCAGACCTATATGTCAGATTTAGAAATCCTACGAGAAGAGGCACGTGCTGTTCAGAACCAATTTGGAAAGTAGACAATTAACTAAAAATTTTTATTTGGAAAAATATCCACAGCAAATTAGACATGCGAGGAATACCTTGCTTTGGGTTACACATTATCGGAGTGGATAGGCTCATAGGCTGTGTTTAATGATGTGGCCTTACTATACTTACAGTAATTCATCTTATTTTATTTACAGTGGGTTTTTTTTTTTAAGATTTTATTTATTTATTTATTTGAGAGAGAGAGAACAAGCAGGGGGATGGACAGAGGGAGAAGCAGGCTCTCTGCTGAGCAGGGAGCCCGATGCGAGGCTCGATCCCAGGACCCTGGGATCACAACCCAAGCGGAAGGCAGCCGCTTAACCGACTGAGCCACCAGGCGCCCCTTTACTGGCCGTGGTTTAACTGGCTGCTGCTTTCTTACTCTTTCTGCCTTTCTTCCCCCTGCCCGCACCCTTCTCTCTTCTTCTCTCTCTCACAAGCTACACACACACACACACACACACACACACACACACACACTTAGTGACTCTGCACATCAGTGATAGAACAAAAGTACATCTCTGCGTTTTGATGAGTAATGAGTAATCTCTCTGTATGGAATGAAGAAAAGCTGATTACGTCTCTGATTTTTATATTTTCATTTTCTTTTTTTTTTTTTAAAGATTTTAATTATTTATTTGAGAGAGAATGAGAGATAGAGAGCACGAGAGGGAAGAGGGTCAGAGGGAGAAGCAGACTCTCTGCTGAGCAGGGAGCCCGATGCGGGACTCGATCCCGGGACTCCAGGATCATGACCTGAGCCGAAGGCAGTCGCTTAACCAACTGAGCCACCCAGGCGCCCTATATTTTCATTTTCATCTCAAATACTTTATTTTGTTATTCTTTGTGGGTACTCTGGTCATTTCCTCAAATCACGCAGAAACAGCATTTTCCTCATCACGACTGAGCTCTGTAGCATTGAAGAAGGACCATTTGGCCGAAGCAGAACCATCAGTGGCTAGCACGGCAGGCCAAAGGCAGCCTGGTAGCAGTCATGCTTTGGGGGGTTTTCAGGCTTTGGTGAAAAGCAGCAAGCATAAGCGGGAAATTAAGAATAGTAACTCCTCATGCTAATAATTTATTAGGAGCGTTGTGAATTCTGACAGGAGAACCCATTTCCCTCTCGTTTAGCCTCTGTCCTCCATGCCTGAGAGCTCTGAGGTAATGAAAAGACAGAAATACTACAGCAGCGACAGCAGTTACGACAGCAGCCGCAGCGCTTCAGAACCCGAGGATGAGAACGAAGAGTACCAAAATAAGAACAGAGAAAAGCAAGTTACGTACAACCTTAAACAGTCCAACAACTACAAATTAATTCAACAATCCAGTAAGTTAATTTCTTCTAATTTTGTTGTTATGTGAAGAATTATGGAACGGAAATTACTGAACTCAATAAAAGACCTTGGGCCACAAGAACCCTTGCCGTATGTGAGGGGAGCTGGACTCCATCCCACTTCCTTCCCTCACCTGACCTGGGCACACCGCACAATCCCTTCCAGGGGCTGCACATGGAAAACAAACAGGCTGAATGCAGGCTCTCTGCGAGTCCTTTCTTCTCTATTTCATAGTTTTTGTGATGTCCTGGATTGTTGCATGGATTTTGTGAAATGGGCCTCATGGCTGCTGATCTGCGGGCTGCATTCTCTCTCAAGACAGTTATGTTCCCTCATTCCTTCTCCCCCCGCTTTCCCTCCCTTTTGGTCACCAGTTTTATTTTATATGCTCACCTCTTCTTAAAAAATGTGTGTATCTCTCCAGGCATTTGACTTGAACCTCTCTGTGAGCCGCGCAATTGTGAAATAGTTGAAGTTTTGTTCCCTCCTGTTTTCATCAGGGCTAAGCGCTTAAGTGAGGGCTTCGGGGATGCCTACAGCAAGTATTCCGGACAGTAACCAGCCAGCTGCTCTGTTGGCTTCCCTTCTGCCTTCTTCTTTTCTCTTTCTTCCTCTCTTTTCACATTTTCTCTCTCCTCCATTCTGTCACTCATTCCTTCTTTGATTTCACATGTGTCCACGATTCTTTCACCCCCCGAAGTCCAGTGTGGTATTGCTGTTTCCTCAGGCTCATTTGGATCCCTCTTTCCCCACGCTGCCTCCAAGGCAAGGCTTTTCTTGACCCCTCTCCTGTCTCTGCCTCGTCCTCCATTGTCCCAGGGCTCCACGAGAGGGACCAGTTCAGTCACGCAATAAACACAACTGTGATCCTTCGTTGATCTCCAGCACTGGTTTACTTAATACATTAGTTCTCTGGTAATGAGAGTGCTTTAAACCTGGCGTTCCATACTTATGGCAAAATGCCACAAGGAATGCAGCACAAACAGATGAAGACTTTTAATTATCTCTTCCCAAATTATCATGAAGACTTTTAATATTCTTTCTTTTCCTTTTCCTTTACTTTCTTTTACTGAATTGTTTTATAAAGATACATGCTAATGTTCCTGTCTTTGAGAGTTCATGTGTTTGGAGGGGAAATAATGTATTATATTGCATTTCATTTATTTATTTACTCATTTAAGATGTCTATTGTGAGCACCTGTTCTAGAGTTTGCAAGCTATTTTATCAATTACTTCCTTTGTTCCTTAAAGATGCCTTAAGTACTTTCAGCATGTCTCTGAAAGTATGGCTCTGTTTCTCTTTTGGAAGCTGACATTGTCTTGTCCAGATCTCATCGGTTGTTTAACCCCTTGTGTAAGGTGTGCATCCCTAAGAGCACAAGCCAACAGAGGATGAGGGTAGGGTTGCGAAAATGTTGCCAAGATTTCTATAGCTCTGACATTGTTCTTTGTTCTCAGACCAAAAATAAATTGAGATCAGAAAAATAGTGCACTAAAAATGTTTTTAAGTGTGAATTCACATTTTAAAGCTAACTTAGCTCAGTTATATAGCTTCTTCCTTATTAGTTATATTTTATTTTTATAGTCATTAGGAATTACCACAAAGGTTTCCATTTGTTTTATATTCTCTCTTTAATATTACACTGAGGAATACCATAGCCACAAACCCTCCTTGAGCTTTCTCTCCAAAGTGATGCTAATGATAGGACAAAATCCAGATTATGTGTAACATTTTCTGGTGTAGAGAGCTAACTTAGGAAACTTACACTTGTTATAGTTTCAAAGATATATTTTGGGTTGATATAAGGTGTTCATATATAAAACTATATGAAATATTTTTCTCGCATAACTTGTATATGCAGGTTACAACCGTTTTTTGCTCGTCTGCCTAAATATTATTGGCATATCTAGTGACTTAATTATTCTGTCTGAATTTCCGGTGTATGCAGGGGAAAAATGGGAATCTGTCGTGATTCAAGAGAAAGGATATTTTCCTTCTGCACCTGTGATCAGGTTATACATGTCCAAACTATCACCTTAAGCCCTTAAAGAGAGCAGAACCAAGGTGTAGGTAGTAGCACATGCTTTTGTGTTTTCCTAGTAGCATATTGACTAGTGATATGTTCCTCACACAGCTCTTTTCTAGAAGTATAGTCCTTTAAAAAAATTGGATGTGACTTTTAGGTTCAGGAGAAAGTTAATAATTGGAACAAGTGGAAGTTTTTTTTTTTTAAACATCTTTTATAGCTTTAATGAGTATATTTTTTATACTCACCAGAACCAAATGGTATTAGGCTTATCATTGACTCAAAATATCCTATAGAAATACATCCCTAAATATAAAGGCAATGTCCATTGCCTTTATAAAGGTTTAATTTTTTTTCAACAGCTAATGAAGAGAAATACCTGCCTTCATGTGAGTTTTATTAATTTATTTAATTAATGAAGATTGATGTATTCCCCAAGCAGAGAGAGAATATAGAACAGAGGGTATTTACAAAATGAACTGAAAAGGATATAACTGTTGAAGATATTGAGTGATATTCCTATGCCAGGAATCAAAATTTACCTGGAACAGTTGGTTCTCTTTTTTAAATGGTCTCACTATTCATTGGGGAAGATATTCTTTGGTTTTCCCTAGTTTGTTTTGATAACAACCCTCTAGACCTAGACATTTTTTTCTTGACTTAAATCTTCTACTATGGGAATTTAAATCTAGGTTTGTTTTTTTTTTTCATTCTTGTCTCCTGTGAATAAGAAGACTACCTGTCTACTACTACTCTTGTAATACCAATTATATATTTAAACTCCATTAGGATAATCTTTATGTCTTTCTTCTGTTTTACTGTTTTTTTTTTTCCTTACGTGCCCTAAATTCTATAACATCCATTTATTCTGGCCACTCTCTAGACTCCTTTCCATCCCTCCCTATGAATCTTGCTATAAAATATTCTATTTTTAACCTATACATGGATTCTAATCAATGACCAGTCTAATGCAAAGATAGTAGGTGGCATCATGCTTTAGAAAGAAAGGGAGGATACTGACATTATATAGGTCAGGACTTAAACCTGAGCTTGGCCATTTTCTCGTCATGTGATCTTGAGAAAGTTCTTCTGAGCCTCCAGACAATGCAGATTCCTACTTCAGAGGGTTTCTGTAAGGATTAAGATGAAAGTGTAGCACCTAGCAAGGTGCCTGGCTTATAGAAGGTGCTCTGTAAATGTTAGTTTTCCTTTCTTCTGGTTCCTTTATGTCATGTTTCAAGAACAGAACTGTTTAAAAAATTGTTCTCATGGTAACCATCCTTAATACATGATAGGGGTTCTGCACCAAATTTACTGTTTAAGCTGAAGAATTAACTTCAAACTCATATTCTCGTGATGATGTCTGTGCTTTCACATTTATTGCGGTTTTGCTACCATGTGGTCTAATTGTTAGTTTAAATCTGATGCAGTAGGAAACTTACTAACTCTGCTACTGTACTGTCCGTCCTCTCCATTATCATAGGCTCCATTAGGCGCTCAGTCAGTTGCCCTCGGTCCATCTCTTCTCAGTCACCTTCCAGCGCGGACAGCCGCCCCTTTTCTGCGCAACAAGTGATACCAGCATCCCGGCCAACTTCAGGGTCCCGGTCACATTCTTTAAACCGTGCCTCCTCCTACATGAGGCATCTGCCTCACACTAATGATGCCAGCTCTCCTAACTCTCAGATGGTAAGTCACTGATCTTGCTCCTCTGAGATTATAGGAAGCACTATCCTCAGGATTTAGACAGCAAGGGATTGGCTGGGAGGATGGGAGGAGGACAGATTGCACCCCAGGTCCTTTCTGTAACTCAGCTCACGGTCTTCTGGAATTTGGATGATTCATCTATCTTAACCTGTAACTTAAAAAGCAGACCCCACTATATCATAGAACTTGAGGATGGACACAGAATAGCATTTTATTTTCCATTTGCTGATGGTGTAGGATAATTTTGTTGAATTTTATCTGAGTAGGTATATAATCTTGCAGTGTATTGTGCAGTACAGCTGTAAATTTGGGGGAATTTGTTGGACGGTAAATTTTCCTTAATGGGACTCCTGATTAATAGATTAAAAAACAAACCATTGATAAATTAGCTTTAGAGCACTGAAGTATTAACATTGTTGATAATGTTTTCTTTATATTTAAATTAACATATATCATTCTCTCCTTAGCATGAATCCCAGAGATTCGTGTTGAAGAAGTCAGCGAGTTTATTTTGCAACCAGGCTTACTTGTAGATGCTCAAATAGATATCTCCTTGTACCCTCACATAGGCCAGGGATTTATTTAATTTGTTTATTTAATGTGAATGATGTTCCCAAATAGAAGAGTTTAGAAAATATAAATGAATGAATTTCACTTGGTAACAATCAATAATTATTTTTTCTAATCAAGAATTGCCTAGGGTATATGTAACAAATGAACTGACCAGGAAGTCTTTTTTTAAACACTTATATTTTTATTTTAGTATTTTGAGCTAAATAAACTATAACTGTGTGGAAGTGAAAGACACTCTTGGGAAATCATATCCAGTTAACCCTAAGAGTAAATGTAAAAGAAATTATTTTCTTTTTCATTGTTTTTTTTTAAATTAAAAGTACATCATTTTTACCTAGAAATATCTTTCAGATTATAGTGGCACAATGAAATAAGACCCCCTCCAAATATCTGTATTTTTTCAAATTTAAGAGTGAGTCTTTGCGGCAACTGAGAACAAAGGAACAAGAAGACGATCTAACGAGTCAGACCTTATTTGTCCTCAAGGACATGAAGATCCGGTTTCCAGGAAAATCAGATGCAGAATCATTACTTCTGATAGAAGATGTGAGTATTTGATGTATACAAAATTTCAAGGAGCTCGCAACTTTTTATTCTTCTTAAAATATTAAAATTTATTTCCTGATGGCATTATTCTCAATGACATGGTAAACTTAACTGATGTTCTTTTCAACCTCCTTTTCAACCTTCAACTTCAAGAAAATACAGGGGTTATATTAATTATTATGATTCATGAGCAGTGAGATCACGTAATCAGTAATGCAAAGTATCTTTTCGTGTCTAGTCTTATTTTAATGATGCAATTGCTTCAAGTGAGAATAATTACTGTTCTTAATGATGAAAGAAATCTCAAAGTTAAACCTCCTTCTGTAAAGATTTAGAAGGATCTAACATGGTTTGAGTTGTAATGAAAAAAAAAATAGGGCCCTGGGTATGAAATGTCAAGAATATTTGAATGTGATACCTTGAATGGTTTTTGTCAAATTGTGAAATGGCTTATGTTGGGGGTGTTTTTCTTCTTATAAACACATTTGCACCACCCAGTGGAACATTCTAAAATGACACAGTCCTGAAAATTCACATTAAAGTCAATGACTTACTCCTATTTTAGAAAGAAGTTCCAAGTTATTCAGATATTTCTGGTGAAAGAGCATTCCTTCAGAGATTGATTTTATTTAAACATGTTTCAAATTGACATTCCTAGGTAATCCCTCAGTAACAGAAGATTGTTTTCTGGTTTCCCTGTTTTGTTTAGTTTTGTTTGGGGTTTTGGTTTTGGTTTTTAGTTGTGGGTTTTTTTTTGGTTTGTTTTGGTTTGTTTTTGTTGTTGCCGTTGTTGTTCCAGAGGAGAAGGCACCATCTAGTGGCCAGTTGTAGGATAAGAACCAGAATGATGCACTTGGCATGTTTCACATTTTATCATTACTTTAGACCTGTCTGAAGCAGCGGTCCTTCTGAAACAAAACAAATAAACCAAAAAGTCCTACAACAAATAATAACAAAAATTTAACTTTCTTAATTTAAAAAATTAATAGTGGCAATTTCTATTTTGTAATGACATAGTTATGAGCAAAATCCCCAAATATTTTACATTATTTTGTTATATGAATATTTTAAAAAGTGAAAATGGTATCTTACTTACAAACGAGCTGATATTTGTTACATCAAGGAGAAAGGAGGAAAAATTAACATTAGTTGTAAAGCATTATGTAGATGTGTTTTTATTTACATGTTATTTTATTCAATCAAGTTATTTTCTAGGTAAAGACAAAAATTTGTACCATTTTCCGTATATTTCTTAGAGATATTGGTTATATACCAACCTTTTGAATCAGGTAGGAGAAAAATTAGATAATCAGAAAGTAGAACTAATATTTGTGGCTGATGTGATTGTTTTATAAAGAATCGGCTTATATAATTAGTAAAATATAATGGATAATTATATAAGACATTAGGTTGTTTACTATATGCAGCAAATATTTTAATTTGTTTGCTACAGTATATATTACTGGAATATATATTTGGAAATTTTGCAGATTTGTAACAATAAAAACCCAATAAAAACAAAACAAAGGCATAATAGAACCCTGATTACATATAGGCTATCTTCTAATGTATTGTTCAATATTCTGTTATTATATAGGGTGATGTGGTAAATATAGCCCTTGGAATTAAAATGGAAAATCTGTGTTTTGGGCTACTTCCCAAATCCTAGGTACCTGAAGACATTTGACTTCCATTTATTAGAGACTGTGTGCTTTTTATATCAAGAAGAGAAAACTTTGGATTCTGATGGCTTCTTTACTTTAACTTAGAAATCTTTGCACATGTCTTTATGAAAGTAGACATTCTTTATTGCAAGTGGTATTACAGTGCTTCTGTTTCACAAATTAATAAAATTGGTTTCAACCCATTCATTTGCTCTTTGTTACTTTTGAGGAAAATTTTAGATTAAATTTCTTAATGTTTCTCCCCCCAAACAGATCATTGATAACTGGAAGTATCATAAAACAAAAGTGGCTTCATATTGGCTCATAAAATTGGACTCTGTAAAACAACGGAAAGTGAGTAATGCCAACAAATAGGTTTGCCCTTTGGGGTTATGTATTAAGATCATTAAGCCATATTCATAATCAAACTATGTTCATGTTTATTTGTTTACTTGTTTCTTTACCAAATATTTATTACACAGCTACTATGTTTCAGGTACTGTTCTAGGTTCTGAGATTAAAAAAATGAATTTAAGAAAAGCCCCATCGTCTCATAGAGCTTATGTTTTAGTTACGGTGTTTGATAATAAACAATATGTACTAGAATGTAGGGTAGTTTTAAATACCAGGAAGAAAAATAAATGAGGGTGAAAAATAGGGAGATGGTAACCTTAGAGCAGAGACTTAAAGGGAATAGTGCTGTGCAGATCCCTGCAAGTACGATGTATCAGGAGGTGGGGAGAGCAGTTACCGAGGCCCTGAGTCACAAGTCAGCTTGATGCGTGCACAAGGCACAGAAAGCATTTCATTCCCTCATGTATGGGATAGTTGGCCTTTGGCGTTGAAGAATGAAGTGGTGAACACTGAAGTGGGGTACATGGGCAGGGGTCAGATCACAGCTTCAGAGGCTCTATAAACACCATGGGTTTTATTCCAAGTGATGGGAAGTTGCTGGAAAATTTTGAGCAGAAGAGTTATGTGGTCTGGTTTACAATTTAAAGGATCACGAGAGCTTAGAGAATAGAACTGGGGGAGAGGGAATGTAGCAGAATAGAAGTAGAGAGCAACTAGGAGGTTTTTAGAGTGATGGAGGCAAGAGCTAATGGTTGCTTAGCTAGGGTGGTAACTGAATGGGCAGAGACTGGGGAAAAGCAGGGGTTTCCAGCCATTATTACTATTGTTTCATTTTACTTTGATTTTGGTTTTGGACTTGTTAAGGCTGATATATTGATTAGACATCCAATTGAAGGTATTGAGTATGTAGTTGTATATATGAGTTTTTCAGTTCAGAGCTAAGGTTGTGTATGGAGATAGAAAATTTAAGAGTCAACCAGGATATTTAAACTGGTGGGACTGGATGATTACCTCGGGAGTGAGTGTGGTCAGAAAAGAGAAGAACTTCAGGAACTGAGACCTGCGTCACTTCTACATGTAGAAACCAGAGATGGGTGTGTGTGTGTGTGTGTGTGTGTGTGTGTGTGTGTGTGTGTGTTGGGGGAAGGCAGTTAATTTAAGGGGATTGAGAAGGAGCAGCCAGTGAGGCATGAAAAACCATGAGAACTGGGTGTCTCTGAAGCCAAATTAGGAAATTATTTTAAGGACAGAGTGATCAGTGGAGTCGGTTGTGGCTGCTAGGAGCTGTATGATGAGCAGGAAGACCTGACTGCTGTTTTTGGCAATGTGGAAGTTAGTTGTTACCTAATCATAACATTCTGGGGAATGGCAGGGAGTAAAACTTGAGTGGAGTTAGTTCCAAAGGATGAAAGGCCCAGAGAAAAAAAGCCCAGCCAGCACAGGCGCTTTTTCAAGTTTTGCTGTAGAGGAAAGGGAAAATACGGTAGCTGAGAGTGATGTGGGTTAATGACAAGGTTTTGTTTGTTTTGTTTTGTTTTTAAGATGAAGATATTTGCAGTTGTTTGTGTGCTGATGAAAATGATCTAGAAGACAGGATTGGCACAGGAAAGAGAGGTGATAGAAAATCCTTGTGTAAGTAAGCTGGGACGGTTTGTCCTAACCAGGAGCATTTGTTCTAGCAGGAGGGAAGGCAGGGTCTGGCATCGTGGAGGGAAGGTGTAAAGGTCTTCTTCTGATGGGGAGGGGCTTTTAGGGATTGAAGGAGACAGTAAAATGTATGTGATAGTCATCTTGGACAGGAGAGGGGGGTGGCCAGCAGCCTGAGCAGCCCATCAAGTGCATTGCAACATCATTTTGGAGGAGGTATATTATTTTAGTAGCTTTAATGAAGTTGTATTCCTTCAGGAATGCAAGCTATCATTTCCTCTTCTAAGATTTATTGCTAATAAGCTGAAAGTTGACACTGATCAAATGATGACTTTTAAAGTATATACTTTTATCTGAGTGAAGTGAACTCACAATTTCGCATTAACACATTCAACAAATAATTACTTGGTGCTCTGCCACGTGCCAAACACCAGGCTGCCATCGAGGAGGGTATAGCAAAGCTGGGACAGAGGTAGACTGAAAACATACTATAAGTCCTGAATACATGTTTGCCAAGTCACTGACTGTGGCCTTGATTGATTAAAATAAGGACTTCTTATTAGAATTGGAACCCTAAATTTCCTCAAGTCCATGTACTTTTTGTAATCTAGAAGGTGGAAGACTGTAGGTAAGTTGCTAATTAAAATAAAATAGTCCAGAAACAGATTAAAGTGTTTATAAGACATTAATACATGATAAATGTGACATTTTAAAGCAGTGGAGAAAAAGATAATTTTCCCCCTAAATGATACTAAAGCAATTGGCTACCTATTTGTAAGAAAATCAAGTTGGAGTTTTATCTCTCGCTATATGCAAAAATAAATTCCAGGTGGATTATAGCTTTATATGTAAAAAAAGAAAATATTAAAAGTTTAAAAGGAAAGGATATGTTTGTAATCTTAGAATGGGGGAAACCACTTCTTAAGAAAGACCTCAAACCCAGAAGACTTAAAAGAAAATATTGACAGATTTGATTACATGAAAACTTTAAAACAAATTAAAAAGCAACAGCTGTGAAGAGAATGGGGGAAGGGGTATTGAGGAAGATAGATATTTGCCACACATAAAACACAAAGTAACACCAATAAACCAAAACCTCCTACAAATCAACCAGCAAAAGACAAACTATCCTATAAATATTAATAAATAAAATGGCAAAGTACATAAAAGGGCCATGAAAAGACAATTTATGGATCTTCAAATAGCCAATTAACATGTAAATAGATCCTGGCCTCACTAGTGATGAAAGAAAAGCAAGTAAAAACCGTCATATTGGCAAAAATTAATAAGAGATAATATCAGTGATGGAAATAGTATGGATAAAAGAGCCTTTGCTATACTGTTAGAGGGAGAATACATTGGTACAACTCTTTAGAACAGTGATTTGCAGTATCTATTAACATGACAAATGTTCATAACCTTATGACTCAGCAAAATTACTTTCAGCATTCTATCCTACAGAACAACTGTCTGAGTATATGATAGATTGACATACATGAGCATTCACTGCAGTGGTATTTGTGAAAGCAAAACATCTGAAGCAGCCTAAATGCCTTATCAATAGATTGATGATTAAATAAATTATAGTGCATCCACATTATTCAGTTGCATTAAATTGAATACTATGCTGGAATCATAGATCTTAACCTGAGAGATAGCACAGGATTATGACTTGTAACATATGAAACAAGCATACATTAGTAAAATTAGCCAAACTTCACTAATCGTGAGTGAAGGATACAATCAGTAAGCCATCACCAGGAGGCCATGAGCACATCAGCTCTCAGGTGTCCCTTTTCAAATATCCAAAAGCATTCTGGGTTCAGAGTGATAAGTGCCAACTATGTGTGGATCACCTTAGTACAGCGGGAGCCTTCCAGATTTGGGTGGCCTTCATTTTCCTTCTCCATTAGTCACCCATGTAGTCTTTGTCACTAACTTCCATTCTCTAGCCAGCTGAAATAAAAAGATTGATTGGCTATGAATGTGGTCTGATAGAACTCTCTACAAAGATGGCCATATTCTTTATTTATGATGTCCAATACAGTGGTCACTAGACACATGTGGCCACTGAGTGAGCATTTGAAATGTGGCTATTGTGACTGAGGAACTAAACTTTTAATTTTCATTAATTTAAATTTAAAAAGCCAAATATGTCTAGTGGCTACTGTAGTTGACAGTGTGGAGCTAGGCAGACCATGGCCTTCTAAATATGTTCTTAGGTAAGAACTTTCTCATTTATCTTCTCGCTGGAAAACTTCATTAGAGGGTTTGCAAGAATGTCCAGTAAGGTCATCATTGCCATGGGCATTGAAGGCATCGAAGAAGCAATGCCTCTGTCAACTTTATCCCTTCTATATGCCAGCCAAAAAGGAGATCAAGATAGTAAATTAAACAAACATGTCATGTCGTACAATAATATGTGTTGTCCTATTTTTTTAAATGACTTATGTGTATATACTATTTTATTAAAATACTATTTTATTAAATACTACTTATTAAAATACTATTAAAAAATTAAAAATGACTTATGTGTATGTACTATTCAAAAAAATTTTTTTTTTAATTTTTGCAAATTAGGTACCAAGTTGTTAAGATGTTGTTTTTCTATAGGGTAGGTAGACTTACTGAGCCAGGGAAATGAAAGTGGTGACATTTGGTGTCATTTTTCTTTTTGTTTTTGTATATTTCTCTATATTTCTTTCATGTTAAAATAATCTTTTTAAAAATGGCAGAATGACAGGGAGACACAGGCATTCCTGTGAAGCCTGTCTGGACTCCCCGCCCCTCCAATCAGATGTTAACTTTCCTTATTCTAAATCCTCATGGTATTTTGTACTTATTTGTACTTATGATCTGCCTTGAGAGGTTTTTGTACTAATTTTTTTCCACTTCTCTAAAACCAGGGGCTTGTCTTACTTTGTAGTCACCTGTAAGAGGATTTCTATAAACATTTATTAAGTTGATTCAATTCTAGACTCTTTTATGAACTCTTGTCAATGGCAGGCCAGCTTCTTTCTGCTTCCATTTTTCTTCACTAGTGATGTGTGTTTATTTGAACAGCAACAACAAATTAAGACACTGTCATTCTGGTTTTTTACATGCGGTTTGAGAAGGTCTGATGAACACTGTATGGGATGATCAGATGATGTGTGTGCATAGTTATATTTGTGAATTGGAAGAAACTGTTTCATGTTTTAGGCTTGTTATGCTTCAATTTGGTTTATAAATTTTGGGTAAAATTAAACAATTGCTTATAAATTTACTTGCAAGTACTTTTGCCAGTATCTATTTCTCCTCTACTGATTTACTCTAAGAATATTTGGAGTGAGTTATGTTTGTGTAATCCTTTCCTCCACATCTCCATGTTTATCCTACACTGTTACGTTATAGGAATAGAAGCACCAGTGTGAGGGGGCATGGTGTTTAGTACAACTCATATACCTAGTTACCTTTTCTTTTAGCCCTTTTGTTGCTTCTTCCATTTTGGCATAAACCAAAAGTACTATATATCCTCTGTCTTTGTAAAAATTAGTAGTAAGACATCCCATCTTCGATACAAAGCTTGTTAAGTTCCCATAGTTTAGACTACCCACGCAATTAAGTAAAACTTCTACATAGGTAATTTAATAGACAGTTTGGTTTTTGGCAGAAATATTTGTAGCTTGAATTTTGACTCTCTAAGCAGTAAGGGCTGATCTTAACTAGAGCAAGTTTATCCTGCCAAGTTGCGCACTTTCCCCGAGGCCCTAAAAGCTGACTCAGGGATGGTAGGCTGGGCTACGATGAGAAAGGGAAAGCCCAGAATTTACACACTTGCAACTTATTTGTGGCGATTTTCTTGCTGTGGTTATGATCACTGCATTTCCTTTTCTTCCCTCAACCATTTTGTTCTTTAAGACCATCTTCCAAAACAGACTCTAATTTCTCAGATACATGGTAGAAGGTGGGATGCTCCTAGGAACAGGAACAGAAGGCAGCTTTCAGCAGCATTCATTGTGCGATGGCATTCCTCCCCTTTTAAGCAAAGGTCAGTGAAGAGCTCTCACCCATGAGTAATTATCTGAATAATAAGGAAATTAATTTCTGGAAAACTTTCCCGTTATGTAAAATTAACACTGCCAAGTTTATAGGTTCTTTCACCCATGCTCACAAAAAGAAGCATAACAAATACACACATCATGAATGCAAATCATCAGGCCAGCCAGTAGTAGAGGTCTTGAGCTCTGACATAAACAAAGAGTTTTTAATTGGGAGTTTTTTTGTTTGTTTTTTTTTTTTCACATTTTGTTCGTTTAATCAGTAGCACTAGAATGAATTAAGTGAAATACTTAAAATTTAGCCCAGATAGGATAAGTATAGAGATATATTGTGAAAATAATCATTGAGACAAAGTTAAATATGTTTGTCTGATTTCTGTGTGTGTATATATATTATGTCATAATATATATAAATATTTTTTTCTCTACCTCTTCCCAGTCTTGTTTATTTCAGATAAAATCAGAGGTAAAGTGGGATCAGAGAATGACTGACTGAAATATTTTTTCTTGCAACATGAGAGCCAATATAATAATGAGTTGAAAAGTGCATTGAAAAAACTTTTTAAAAGCTATATATATGTTTATATGTTAATATTAAATAGTGCAAAAAAATATTAAATAGTGCAAAGAGGTACTAGACTTGTAGTCGCATGGATTTGAGTTCACTACTGCCTCTGCCCTTTACTTGGGGCAGGTAACTTCTCAGAACTTCTTTGAGATTTGTAACATTAAGTATTGGAGTGTTCTTGTGAAGAAGTGACACATCATATGGGAGGGTACTCTTGCCCTGGAAGGTACGAAATGCAGGATTTCTTTCCTACTAAGGCTAGGTAAAGCTGAATTTATAAATTAGGCACAGTAAGAGATTAACAACAATAACTGATAATGAAATAGAACAATTATAACAATATGTGGTAATAAAAGTTATGAAAATATGGGTCTCTCTCAAAATATCATCTTGTACTGTACTCACCCTTCTTCTTCGTGTGATGATGTGAGATGATTAAATGCCCACGTGATGAGATGAAGTGAAGCGAAGGATGCAGTATTAGGAGGTGACTGTTGATCTGACAATAGGTCAGGAGGATCATTTACTTCTGGACAGTGGTTGACCTCGGGTAACTGAAACCGTAGAAAGTGAATCCGCAGAGAAGGGGAGGATACTGTACTAAGAATTCTTCATATGTAGAATTATTTTATGTAGAATATGTAGAAATGAGGTGTAAAAAATTGTTTGTTGGGTTGTAATATATTAACCATTTATTTGACTATCTCTGTGCTATTGCTTATTATAAAGCCAAAACAGCATCCAAGAAAACAGAAAGAAACCTAGAATGTGGGTCAGCTGTGGAATGTAGAATTAGATATTATAAAAAGTTACCTATTTAGAAGGCCAAAGACCTAACTAATTTACTAATTAGTTAGTCTAATCTAGATGTGGATTAGTCAGATCTATCCTTCTTTTGGCTGGGATGATAGTAATCATTGGAAGGCTGTGTCAGTTTAGTCTCCTGGTGAGCAGACGTAAGATAGAATTAGAAGTGAAAGAGATTTATAAAAGAAAACACCCAAGAAAGATAAAAGAGAGAGGGAGAGTTCAAGAGGATAGGAAGAGCCTTCAGACTGCACTTTGGGTCTGACAGTGGTGAAGGGAGGGCAGGAGGGTTGGGGAGGAAGGTCAGACTAGTGAAGTTCTGAGAGAGCCGCCTCGTAGGGCTGATGGGGCACCAGATCAAAGGTTGCCTGTTAGAGGGATCATGCTAGGTGGAAAGAAGCCCTCTCTGGTCTGCCATCCATGCTCAATCCTTTGGTTGGGAGCAGAGGAGAGCGTAAGCTTGAATGTTGCAGTGGATCCTGAATGAGGAGGCTGTCAGTTAGTTAACTGCACTCTTGAAAGCAGAGTGAGTCAAATGGCATGCCACAAAGGCTGTATGTGATACAATTTAACTTGACAAACATTTATTGGTTGCCATTTTGTGCAAGAACTATGCTAAGCACATTGGAGATTTTGGGAGTTGTTCATTCATTCATTTAGTTATTTGCTCATTCTAACTTGCATTCAACAATATTAATTGGAGGACTACCATGTCTCAAGCACTATTCTAGGTGCGGAATGCCTAAAACTCTCATTGAAATCTCTTAATTCCATTTATAGACCATTGTTGAAATATGTATCTCCCTTTTTCTGTTCCAGGATCAAAGCATGTGCTGGTTGCTCATTAAAATGTTATAAAACTCTAAGATTAGAACCCACACACACAAACTCTTTCACATGCCCTATTTCAAATTTTCCTTAATGGATGTAAACTTTAAAGGTCAAGGATGAGGGAATTAAATACTGAAAAGAATCCTCACCAGGTGAAAATGGAAACAGCTAATCTTATTTAATATCATGTTGTGGTAACTCTACACTTGCATAATTTAGCTTTCTGCCAAGAATGCAGCCGCTTTATATAATTTATAAGGAATAGATGTGAAGTATGAAAACACTGCAGTGTTGGTGGACCGTGAAGAATGCCGAATTTGCTGAGAAGCTTATTCTCTGATGTGACATCTAGGCATAAACTAAGATTGGAGGATGAAGAGAAATACACAGTGATATTAATCTTCTACTATATTTGCATTTATTTGGGGGTTCTAAGAGATCTTTGTTGATCAAGTGTTTCTTCTCTAAATAGCCATTTCTTTTTAATACCTCCTGTAGTTGCTTCTGCATGCATTTTGATGTTATTATTTTCCATCTCTTTTTCATTTGGGCTGACGTAGATGTGTACAGAGTGTTCATTCTGCATCAGCAAAAACGCCTGTACCCTGTAGCCAGGGCTGCTGCACACATCATTAGTACATGCAGTGATTTCAATGTTATTTCTAAACCTCCCTCACCTCATGCCATTATTTTAATTTAGAACCAACTGTTCAGCCATATGGAGCAGTTTGTCATTCAACATCTGTATGTTCTTGCAAAATATGAATTTGTGTACTTTATGCCTTCAAATGTGCTCTATTTCATATAGAAAAGACAAATCTTTTCATTTTATTCATGTTTTCATTGACTGAATCTCCCATTTATTTTTTTCCCTTGGAGAGCTTAATGTTGGATCAGGATGCTTTTAAAAGTCGCAATGTCAGGAAATGGATACCTGTGTTCTATAACTTAGCCTCATTTGAGTCCGCAGATAAACACAAAGGGCACCTTGCTGACCATTTGTTTTTGTGTTTCACAAATTAGTCATCTTCCATCCATTTTGTTCTAACCCCAAAGCACCCAGATACCCAAAATAGCATTACAAATGAACGAGCATTAATTCACCTCTTTCCAGTCTGATTTCTTGCCTGTCTGCTCTCTGCCTTACTAAAATTATTCAGTGGATGTTTTGCTAAAGGTGCAGTCAGTGTCCCCCCATCTGTATAGCCTTTCAAGCAGATTAGACCCTTTGCCCTGGCCCTGATGGAGGGGGTGCCTGGTGACCCCACCCATTTTCCCAAGTATTACTTGACTAGAGGCGAATCTGAATCTAAGAAGTGACAATTTGATTCTTTTCTAGGGTTTGCTGTTGACACCTGAATAGATCAAATGAATTGTGAGGCAGTGTTGGGTAGTGCTTAGGAGCAGAGAGGTCTACACAGCTGTCCATTTACCAGCTGTGTAATCTTGGCAAAGTTACTTATCTGCTCCATACCTGAGCTTTCTCATCCATAAAATGAGATCCAAAAATGTCCTCAAAACCAAAAAATTTTCATAACCACTAGGCAACACAATCTAACTTACCTGAATTCATTTGGTGACAATGACCTGACAGGAAGTTATATGTTATTTTTGTCTTGTCTCTTGGTTTTCATATTCACATATTTTCTTGCAGAAATAGTAATGTGTATGATTATGGAATCTAGCCTCAAGATCTTTTGAAAGGGAACTGTGGACCAATTTGTATCTACCTTATGTTTTTGTTCTGAGGATTACATGAATTGCTATATGTAAAAGTGTTTAGAACAGTCCTTGGTCCATAGTGAGGTCCGTAGTAAGCCCTCAGTAAATGTTAGCTCTGATTTTTACCTTGGATGCATAGTTTTCACTTTGCTGCAAGGAACAGTTTCACTAAAATAAACACCTGCTGAGCCTTGGGGACATGATAAGTTTTTTACCAAGATGGGCATAATACCTCTCTTTATGTGGATAACAGTCTAATATTAAATAGGAAATTAAAATAAAGCAAGCTAATTATTAATAGGGAGGAACGGGGGCTGAAGGGATCATGGGTCAGTGGCAGGGAAAGTTCTCCCTGTATAGGTTCGCCAGGTGAATAGATAAGGGAAGACACTCCCAAGCAGAGGAAGGAGTGTATGTGAATGCTCAGAGGGGAAACGAGGGAGTCAGGTTCTAGTACCCTTGGTTTGCATGCCCTCATGCCCTCCAAATTATAGGTCTCTCTAACCCATTCCTTTCCCCAGGACCAGGGAGCTTGCCTCCTTTAAAATTGAAGGCAAAGAGAAGCAAAGGAGAATGTATGTTCCCCATGAGCTGTTCAGGAAGAGAAGGGGCAGGTTCCTGGGTTGCCTAGACCATGCTAGTCTCACAATTCTGGAAGATCACTCAGGCAGAGATGCTTGTGTTCCAAGAGTCCTAGAATATTTTATTATCTCTCCATGTTGGAGGAAATATCAGGAGTAGAGCAGAAGCATTCTCCACCCCTAACTCCCTGGCTGCTTTCAGAAGTTGCTTTTGTCATGTGTGGGTGGGCTAGAATATTACATCAACATGGTTTTAAAATTCCCTCTAAACTAAGAATAAAACATGTACAGAGTAGTGGCCAAGAGAGTCTCCACTAAGTAAAGTACCTGGTATAGTGCTTAGTATAGAGCAGGCAGGCAATAACACATTAGTTGCCCTTCTCTTTGGTTCTTATGTATCATATACATTTTACCATAAAATGTATTCAAAAGAAACTAATAGATTAAACTAATAGATTAAATGAAAATTGTGAAAAATAAAAGGTATGCATTCAGGCCCAAGAGGCATATCAGTATTATTGTGAATAATTCATATTAAAGTTTAAAAAAAAAATCCTTCTTACTGTTGAAGAATTTATCTGTAGTAACAAGCTCTTCCAGGACAATTTTTTTCCCAAGCAGCTTTATTGCAGATTGCATTCTCTCTCCTTCTCTGCCCCCTCATCTGACATGCCCCTGACCTGCTGTGGGGGTTACAGTACTGTTCCCACTTCATGGTGAAGGAAGCGGGAACAGGAAGGGAAGGCCTGAGGCTGCTCACACCATTTCTCATGAGAAGCTGGAGTTGACATTCTTCTCTAAATAAAATGATATTTTGAAAATTATTTACTGAACTGATTTTAAACGGATGTTTATTCTACATTTGCCTTATCAGAAATAACTAGTATCACTTTTTAAAATATGGCTGTTAAATAGAGACAAATTAAATTCTTCTTTTATCTGCTTCCAATTCTCTATACATTTGTCCCAATTGAGAGAAATCTGTCTTCCTTCAGCCTTTATATTTGCAAGCTTCTTTCTCTCATCACTCACTCACATATTTATAGGCAGTTCCTTCAATTAGGTACATAAAATAAAAAGCAAAAACCTCGGTAGAGCATACAACTGTCAGGGTTGTGAGTTCGAGCCCCATGTTGGATGTAGAGATTACTTAAAAAAAAAAAAAGGTAAAAATCTACTTTGGTGAACTGAAATTTGAATAACTATATTTGTTGGTGCTTACCTTTTTTAAGAGTTTTCATTGGAAATACCTGCATTGCATAAATATTAAATACATGTGAATTGGACAAAGCCACTTTTTGTGTTTACAGTTTTTTTAGAACCTCTAGGATTTCAGTTGTTCAGAATTAGATTAATCATAGTCCTTATTTCATGATAATCTCTCATTATTGGTAAGTCTTTGGCCTGCTTTTATTTAGTGTTTTTAAAGTTAATTTTACCATTTGTGACCCCAACATCCAAAACAAAAGTTATGTTCCTGGCAATGACCTATTATTATCTAACCAAATGACTCTCCTCCATCTCCCTGGACCTCCTCCCAATGTCTCAGGTAGCCATTTTCTTAAATTCAGGATTCACTAGTTCCTTTTGTTCTTTATAAATTCTTATTATGTCTATGCTTCTTCCCCATTTGTATTTTAAATTTAGTTGTTTTTACTTCTATTAAAAAGGTTTCATACTATATATAATCTCAGGTTTGCATTTTTAAGAAATTTACTATTATATTACTAGGATGCTCTGTGTTTTGTGCATTGTTGTATTTCATTCATTTTGATTACTATATAATAGTTCAAGGGAATGAGTGTACCAGTTTATTTGTTCACTCTCCCACTGAAGGACAATTAGGTCGTTCCCAGGTGTTTGCAATTGTGAACAGCTGTTAGAACATTCTTGTACATGAGTCTTGTTTTTAACCCCTGAGTTTCTCTTAGGAATAAAATTGCTGGGTTATAGGGTATACGAATTTTTAACTTTAGGAGATAATGCCAAGCTATTTTTGAGTGACTACACCAATTGGTACTCCCACCAATAATGTCTAAGAGACCCTGCATAACCCTAGCTCTCCAGCATTTAGTATTGTCAGACTTTTAATTTTTGTCAGTTAAATGGGCATGAAGTGATATCTTATTATAGTTTTAATATTTATGTCTTATATATATTGGGCAAATTTATTTTCTCTTTTGTGAAATTCCAGATCATGTATTTTTGTCCATTTTTTCCCCTAAGTCATTAGTGTTTGTGTTAGCAATTTATTCGGCAATTATTATGTATTTCTGATATTAATCTTTTGTTGTAGGTATATGTTTTAAATATATTTTCCCAGCTTGTAACTTGATCTTTTATTTTTCTTAAGGTATCTTTTGATGTCCAGAAGTTCTTAATTTTAATATAATCAATCTGTTAATATTTTATGGTCCATACTTTTTTATGACTTAATCTTTTTCTAACCTAAGGACTAAAAGATATTCACCAATACTTTCCACTGAGATGTTTAATGGTTTATTTTTTAAGCTTAAGGCCCCAATCCCTCTAGAGTTGATTTTTGTTAATTGAGTGAGTGAGGATTTAACTTTACTTTCTTAATAAAACTTACTATTTTTCAGTCCCCATTTATTGATTTAATTTAGATTTAACTTAAATTTAAATTTTAAACTTAATCTTTTCTTACTCCAATGGTCTGACTTGCCACCTATGTCATACACTAGAGTGTCATAAATGCATGGACCTATTTCTGAGATTTTTACTCTGTGCTGTTATTGAGCGAATGAGTGTGTGTAGGTGTGTGTATGTATTTATCTTTGAATTATATATATTCATCTTTGAATTTTAGACACACACTTAAACACTTAGATTTTGAAATAACTTTGGTTTTTCCACTAGGTTTTGGACATAGTAAAAACAAGTATTCGTACAATTCTTCCACGTATCTGGAAGGTACCTGATGTCGAGGAAGTAAGTTTATATCGGATTTTCAACCGGGTTTTTAATCGCCTACTCTGGAGTCATGGCCAAGGACTGTGGAACTGTTTCTGTGATTCAGGGTAAGTTCTAAATTACCTCTTATTACTGTTACTTTCAACATTTTACTATTTAGTTATATAGGAAGCCCAATAAAATGGTTGAATTTCTATAATGATCTGTTAAATTATGGATTTTTTTTTTTTTTTTACTATATGCAGTTTTTTTGGATTTGGCTATAATTTATAGCAGTTAAGCTGATTTAGATGAGATAATGAATATGAACCCAACACCTAACTAATTTGAATTCAGTGGAAAGAAGGTAGTTTTTAATTTAGTTTTATTTAAATTCAATTAATTAACATATAGTGTATTATTAGTTTCAGAGGTAGAGTTCAGTGATTCATCAGTTTCACGTAACACACGGTGCTCATTACATCAAGTGCCCTCCTTAATGCCCATCACCCAGTTACCCTATCCTCCCACCCCTCTCCACTCCAGCAACCCTCAGTTTCTTTCCTATAGTTAAGAATCTCTTATGGTTTGTCTCCCTCTCCGATTTCATCTTATTTTATTTTTCCCTCCCTTCCCCTATGATCCTCTGTTTTGTTTCTTAAATTCCACATATGAGTGAAATCATATAATTGTCTTTCTCTGATTGACTTATTTCACTTAGCATAATACCCTCTAGTTCCATCCACGTCATTGCAAATGGCAAAATTTAATTTTTTATGGCTGTGTAATATTCCATCCATTGGATGTCTTTGCAGAAATGTCTGTTCATATCTTTTGCCCATTTCTTGATTGGATTATTTGTTCTGTGGGTGTTGAGTTTGATAAGTTCTTTATAGATTTTGGATACTAGCCCTTTATCTGATATGTCATTTGCGAATATCTTCTTCCATTCTGTCGCTTGTCTTTTGGTTTTGTTGACTGTTTCCTTTGCTGTGCAAAAGCTTTTTATCTTGATGAAGTCCCAATAGTTCATTTTTGCCCTTGCTTCTCTTGCCTTTGTGATGTTTCTAGGAAGAATTTGCTGTGGCTGAGGTCAGAGAGGTTGCTGCCTGTGTTCTCCTCTAGGATTTTGATGGGTTCCTGTCTCACATTTAGGTCTTTCATCCATTTTGAGTCTATTTGTGTGTGTGGTGTAAGGCAATGGTCTAGTTTCATTCTTCTGCGTGTGGCTGTCCAATTTTCCCAACACCATTTGTTGAAGAGACTGTCTTTTTTCCATTGGACATTCTTTCCTGCTTTGTCGAAGATTAGTTGACCATAGAGTTGAGGGTCCATTTCTCGGCTGTCTATTCTGTTCCATTGATCTATGTTGAAGAGACTGTCTTTTTTCCATTGGATATTCTTTCCTGTTTGTCAAAGATTAGTTGACCATAGAGGGTCATTTCTGTGTTCTCTATTCTGTTCCACTGATCTATGTGTCTGTTTTTGTGCCAGTACCATACTGTCTTGATGATTACAGCTTTGTAATAGAGCTTGAAGTCCAGAATTGTGATGCCACAGCTTTGGTTTTTCTTTTTCAACATTCCTTTGGCTATTTGGGGTCTTTTCAAGTTCCATACAAATTTTAGGATTATTTGTTTCAGCTCTGTGAAAAATGTTGATGGTATTTTGATATGCATTGCATTGAATGTATAGATTGCTCTGGGTAGCATAGACATTTTCACAATATTTGTTCTTCCATTCCATGAGCATGGACCATTTTTCCATTTCTTTGTGTCTTCCTCAATTTCTTTCATAAGTGTTCTTTAGCTTTCAGAGTACTGATCGTTTACGTCTTTGGTTAGGTTTATTCTTAGGTATCTTACGGTGTTTGGTGCAGTCGTAAATGGGATCATTTCCTTAATTTCTCTTTCTTCTGCTTCATTGTTAGTGTATAGGAATGCAACTGATTTCTATGCATTGATTTTATATCCTGCGACTTTGCTGAATTCCTGTATGAGTTCTATCAATTTTGGGGTTGGAGTCTTTTGGGTTTTCCACATAGAGCATCATGTTGTCTGTGAAGAGTAAGAGTTTGACTTCTTTGCTAATTTGGATGCCTTTGCTATTCTTTTTGTTGTCTGATTGTTGAGGCTAGGACTTCTAGTACTATGTTGAACAACAGTGGTAAAAGTGGACATTCCTTTTGTGTTCCTGACCCTAGGGGAATAGTTCTCTGTTTTTCCCATTAAGAATGATATTCGCTGTGGGCTTTTCGTATATGGCTTTTATGATATTGATGTATGTTCCCTCTGTCCCTACACTGTGGAGAGTTTTAATCAAGAAAGGATGCTGTATTTTGTCAGATACTTTTTCTGCATCTTTTGAGAGGATCATATGGTTCTTGTCCTTTCTTTTATTAATGTAGTATATCACATTGATTGATTTGTGGATGTTGAACCACTCTTGCAGCCCAGGAATAAATCCCACTTGGTCGTGGTGAATAATCCTTTTAAAGTACTGTTGGATCCTACTGGCTAGTATCTTGGTGAGAATTTTGGCATCCATGTTCATCAGGGATTTTGGTCTGTAATTCTCCTTTTTGGTGGGGTCTTTGTCTGGTTTTGGGATCAAAGTAATCCTGGCCACATAGAATGAGTTTGGAAGTTTTCCTTCCATTTCTGTTTTTTGAAACAGCTTCAGAAGAATAGGTATTAATTCTTTAAATGTTTGGTAGAATTCCCCTGGGAAGCCATCTGCCCTGGACTCTTATTTGGTGGGGGATTTTTGATTACTGCTTCAGTTTCTTTGGTGGTTATGGGTTTGTTCAGTTTTTCTATTTCTTCCTGGTTCAGTTCTGGTAGTTTATATGTTTCTAGGAATGCATCCATTTCTTCCAGATTGCCTAATTTGTTCGCATATAGACGATCATAATATATTTGTATAATTGTTTGTATTTCTTTGGTGCTGGTTGTGATCTCTCCTTTTTCATTTGTGATTTTATTAATTTGGGTCCTTTCTCTTTTCTTTTTGATAAGTCTGGCTAGGGTTTTATTGATCTTATTAATTCTTTCAAAGAACCGGCTCAGTTTCGTTGATCTGTTCTACTGTTCTTTTGGTTTCTGTTTCATTGATTTCTGCTCTAATCTTTATTATTTCTCTTCTCCTGCTGGGTTTAGCCTTTATTTGCTGTTCTTTTTTCCAACTCCATTGGGTGTAATTTTACCTTGTGTATTTGAGATTTTTCTTGTTTCTTGAGAAAGGCCTGTATTGCTATATACTTCCTTCCTGGGACTTCCTTTGCTGCATCCCAAAGGTTCTGAACTTTTGTGTTTTCATTTTCATTTGCTTCCATGAATTTTTAAAATTTTTCTTAATTTCCTGGTTGACCCATCTATTCTTTAGTAGGATGCTCTACTCGAGAATTGTATTACATCACAAATCAGGTCTCAACTGGTACCAAAAGATTGGGATTATTCCCTGCATATTCTCAGACCATGATGCTTTAAAACTTGAACTCAATCACAAGAGAAATTTTGGAAGAAATGCAAATACATGGAGGTTAAAGAGCATAAAGAGTAAGTGGGTCAACCAGGAAATTAAAGAAAAATTTAAGAAGTGCTCTACTCGAGAAGAATGTGCATTCTGTTGCTGTAGGATGGAATGTTCTGAATATATCTGTGAAGTCTGTCTGGTTCAGTGTGTCATTCAAAGCCCTTGTTTCCTTGTTGATCTTCTGCTTAGATGATCTGTCCATTGCTGTGAGTGGGGTGTTAAAGTCCCTTACTATTATTGTATTATTATCAATGTGTTTCTTTAATTTTGTTTTTAGTTGGTTTATATAATTGGCTGCTCCAAGTTAGGGGCATAAATATTTACAATTGTTAGATCTTCTTGTTGGATAGACCCTTTAATTATGATATAGTGTCCTTCATTTCTTATTACAGTCTTTGGTTTAAAATCTAATTTGTCTGATATAAGGATTACTACCCCAGCTTTCTTTTGATGTCCATTAGCATGGTAAATGGTTCTCCACCCCCTCACTTTTGATCTGGGGGTGTCTTTGGGTCCAAAATGACTCTCTTGTAGACAGCATATCAATGGATCTTGTTGTTGTTTTTTTTTTTATCCAATCTGATATCCTGTGTCTTTCAGTTGGAGCTTTTAGTCCATTTCCATTCAGAGGAATTATTGAAAGATATAAATTTGGTGCCATTGTATTACCTGTAAAGTTACTGTTTCTGTAGGTTGTCTCTGTTCCTTTCTGGTCTTTGTTAGTTTTGGGCTCTCTTTGATCAAAGGATCCCCTTTAATATTTCTTGCAGGGCTGGTTTAGTGATCACAAATTCTTTATTTTCTGTTTGTCCTGGAAGCTCTTTATCTCTCCTTCCATTCTGAATGACAGCCTTGCTGGATAAAGCATTCTTGGCTAAATATTTTTCTCATTTAGCGCCTTGAATATATCATACCCATCCTTTCTGGCCTGCCAAGTCTCTGTGGACAGGTCTGCTGCCAGCCTTATGTTTCTACCCTTGCAGGTTAAGGACCTTTTGTCTCGAGCTGGTTTCAGGATTTTCTCTTTATCTCTGAAATTTTCAAGCTTCACTATTATATACTGGGGTATTGACCTATTTTTATTGATTTTAATGGGGGTTCTCTGTGCCTCCTGGACTTGAATGCTTGTTTCCTGCCCCAGATTAGGGAAATTCTCAGCTATACTTTGTTCAAATAAACCTGCCCCCCTTTCCTCATCTTCTGGCACCCTTATTATTCGAATATTATTGTGCTTTATGGTATCACTGATTTCTCAAAGTCTCCCCTCATGATCCAGTAGTTATTTTTCTCTCTTTTTACTTTCCATCATTTTGTCTTCTAAATCACTGACCCTCTCTTTTGCTTCATTTACCCAGCAGTTAGAGCCTCCATTTTTTTACTGCATGTCAGTAATAGCATTTTTAATTTTGGCCCGATTAGATTTTAGTTCTTTTATTTCTGCAGTAAGAGATTCTCTAGTGTCTTTCATGCTTTTTTCAAGGCCAGCCAGTATCTTTATAATCGTTTTGAATTCTAGTTCCAACATCTTACTTATATCTGTATTGATTAAATCTATTGCAGAGTACTACCTCTGGCTCTTTCTTTTGCTGTGAAT